CTACTGAACTAGTTCATTAAAAAGTACTAAAAATCGCATCCCTACCCCAAAATTTCAAAGCAAGTTTTCAACTCATAGTCGTTTAATTTTTACAGAGTGATCCAATTTTGAATGAAATACCCGGTATAATTTAATTTTTTCGATTAGATCTTAGATAGGTACAACAAATTCAAGAGTTTGAAATAACAAAATACTTTATGTTTATTTGTATACCAATGTTTCCTCAATTCCTCTTAATTTTTTTCTTTATCTTGCTTAATTTTTCTAGCTCAATTTTTGTCTATTCCCGGCTCTTGATTTTTTCTAAATGGGTTGAGAAAATTCAAGAGCCTGGAATAGAAAAAACATGAACATGAATTAATTTTGTTTGGTGCTTCGCTGTCCCCGCCTGAAAAGAGTTATGGTATAGTTAGGTATTTTTAAAATTTTTGATAACAACCCTTGTTAGTTAGGTGATAGATAATGTCCAACTTGACTGAAAGTATTTTGGGGCTATGGGCTGGAATGTTTTTAAATTATATATGTAGTTAGTCGGCAGTGAAAATATCCATACATGTTTATCATCGACAAAATATAGATGCAAGTCTGAGTTTGTTGTTGTTTTTGCTAGAACGGAAACGCTTATCAGTTATAAGTAAAAATAACCGTGAAACATGATACCCCTGTTTGTTTCCGACACAAACGTCGGCGGTGTGATGACTCACGAATTTTCCTTATTCACCACTACGGCATCCTGTAATAGGACACATCGAACTTCACACTATGTACGCTAGATGGCGCCACCGATAACATAATGACGTCGAAAAATTTGGGGTTAGCCCGGGTCAAATCCCCGAAATTTGTGATCAAAGGCGCCGCCGATCTAGAGATTTTCCCACGGTATTCGAAAATTTCCCAGGCTCAGGTACCACATTACTGGTGCTTCCAGGAAAAGATTCTTAAGGAATTAAGGTAGATCTTGTCAAATTACTAAGACTTTTAGATCCTGAAAAAATTAAAATTAAAAAAATTAAATTAAAAAAATCATAACTTGATAAATATTCAAGGATCCATATTTTTTTTCTCGCTAACCATCTTGAAATTGCTTTGTTTATCAGTAATAATCAAAATCATATTGATAATCAAAGGGACCTAAAGTGATCTATCACCTCGCGTACTTCAACGGTAATTCCATGGGATTTCGCGTACTTCGACGGGAATATACCTGGTACTTCGAAGTACTTCAAGGTATTTCGAAGTATTTCGGAGGTAATTCGGGCCAAATGTACACGTATTTCGGGAAGTAGTTGACCCCTCGTATAAAATATAAATAATTTTACATAAACAGGGTGAGCCAGAAAAAAGTTGCAGTACGATATTGAGGTATTTGTTTTAAATGGGACACTCATATGAATAAAACAAGAGCAAATGCTTTTACTCAAGTTTTTTGAGAAAAACATATTCAGCTTTAACGCAGCAAAAAGAGATGGAAGTAGGGTAAAATCATTATTGCTATACTTTATTCATAATGACTGATTATGTTATTTTGGGATTGTACGCAAAAACAAATCCTACCTTAACATTTCAATACCAATCTGATAATGGTGGTACCCATGGTTGTATCGATGATGGTAGTATGGTATAGATACTAAATTTGATACCACCATTATAACAACCTTTGAGTAGCTCTCAAGTAGTCAAGTTAGGACAGGAAAGTGAAACTCATTTTCTCCTATCTTCAGTTGTTTTCTCTGTTCAAATCGCTAACAACACACAAGTTTTTTAACTATTTTCTACCAATGAAATTCGCTCCGACTGGTTTGTGGTGTCTATGAGAACAAAGCTAATATATAGGGTGTTCCATTTAAAACAAATACATATTTTATGGTAACTTTTTTTTTGTTTCACCCTGTATATGTGAAATTATTTTCATTTTATAGTTTTTTTTTTTTTTTTACGGATATGCGCACTGGCAAGGAAATGTCCTATCACGCTCGAGAAGCGGCAAGTGCGCGGAAATGTCGGTGTATGTTGGTCTTGAAACGGTTCAGGTTGTAACCTGCAGGGAAAACCGTCGCAGGGAGTTTATTCCACAGCGATGCTGTTCTCCAGAGATATGAATTCTGATATAATGAGGTTCTTGGTGCCTCTAGTTTGACAGTAAATTCATGGTTTCCGTCTGTTTGACGGGTTCGCCTGGTAGGCGCTACTCTCGGTGGAATCATACGTGCCAACTCTTCAGAGCATTTTCCGTGATAGTACCTGTAGAAGAGAGATAAATCGCCCACAGATCTGCGATGTTCGAGACCATCCAAGTTACGAGTAAGTGCGGGGTCATTGATCAGCTTGATAGCTCGTTTTTGCACGGTGTTCAAAAGCATTAAGGTATGTTTGGGTGCTGCACTCCATATATATGAGCAGTACTCCATAGTTGGTCGAATCTGGGCTTTGTAGAGTGTCAGCAATTGGCTTGGTGTGTACAGATGTCTTGTACGAAATAGCACCCCTTTTAGCAATATCTGCCACGTGTCTGTGCCAAGACATGTTGGTCTCTGCAGTAACCCCCAAGATGTTCAACTGACTCTGTAATGTGACAGCACTTCCAGATAGCATGATGTTTGGCTCACCGGTGCTGGTCTTTTTTGAAAACAGAGCTGCTTGGGTTTTCTGCGCGTTGAACTGTACAAGGTTTTTGTTACCCCAGTCCTCTATTATCTCCAGGTCGTTATTTATCTGCGATATTTGAGTTAGTCTAAGATGATGGAATTCTCGTGCGGAAAGACCTGTGGGTGGTATGAGTGAGGAGACTATATTGCCATCGTCTGCAAAGCAATAAAGTGGATTTACTGTTTTATCTATGAGGTCATTTATGTAAATCAGAAAAAGAGTTGGCGAAAGGATTGCTCCCTGTGGCACACCAGCATTTATTTGGTAAGAGTTGTAGTTCTGGCCATCCAGTGCAACATAAATGGATCTGTCCTTTAGGTAACTTTCAAACCAAGTGCAAAGTTTCGGCGATAATCCCATTGCTTTGAGCTTGTTGAGCAGATTTTCATGCCAAACTTTGTCGAATGCTTTAGATATATCTAAGGCAATTGTTCTTGTTTCACCCCGCAACTCAATCGCTTTTTGCCATAAGTGAGTGACGTATGTAAGTAAATCGCCAGTTGACCTATATTTTCGAAATCCGTATTGCTTATCGTTGATAATTTTGTACTTTTCCAAGTACTTGGTTAGGTGATTGTTCACAACTCTCTCCATTACTTTTGATATCACCGGAAGTAGAGCAATTGGTCTATAGTTTAACGGATCTGTCTTTTTTCCTTTCTTTGGAATGGGTTGTACTGCGGCAGACTTCCATGATGATGGATATACTCCTTGCCTGTAAGACAAATTGAATAATTTTGCGAAAGTTGGGGTGAGTTCGTTGGCGCAATTTTTGAGTACTATTGCGGGAATGCCATCCGGACCCATTGCTTTGTTTGTATCTAGCTTTTTAAGGGATTTTCGTATTTCTCTGTGACAAAAGGGTACCTCTGGCATACTATGGGAAACCCTTTCAATGAACGGTGGAGTTTTTCCGTTTGGCACTGTTAGGTTCGAGTTGGAGGAAAACATTTGGGCCATCATATTGGCTTTTTCCTCTGATGTTGTGGCTAAGTGATTATTTTTATCTGTAAGTGGTGGTATGGATGACTTGGTGAAGTTAGATCCAACAGCTTTTGCAAGAGACCAAAAGGACCTAGAACTACTTGGACAATTCAGCAACCTGTTTTTTATTCTTTGATTGTATGTTTCTTTAGCGGAGTCAATAGTAATTTTGCAACTATTTCTGGCTTCTATAAATTCTGTGTGGTTTTGAGCGGTTTGTTGTCGTTTCCAAAGGTTATATGCTCTGTGTTTTTTCTGTACAGCCGTTTGACACTGGCTGTTGAACCAAGGTTTTGCATTAGCTCTACGTTTAGTTGTATGCGGGATATATGCATCCATTCCAGATAAGATTACTTGTGTTATTTCATTACAGCAAATAGTGGGATCAGCTGTTTTAAAGCAAACCTCTTGCCATGGAAAATCCAGGTAAAACTGTTTTAGGTCATTCCATTTTGCCGATTTATAGTGCCACATTTTACGAGGAAGTGGTTGTTGGCTTGGTGGGATGAGCATTTCGCACTTTGTTATTATAAGTTTATGATCGGACGAACCAAGTGGAGCATCTACTTGAATTGTTACACAAACTTACCCAAGGATATTTTTAATATTGGGGTTGGTGTTGGTAATATGAATATTATGATCTCCCAGTGAATATTTGGAAATTTCAAGGGGATAAGAAATCAACCGTAACTCCATTGAATGCAAGCGTAATTCCGCGATATTCGTAGGTAATGCCTGGTAATGCCAGCATAATTCCTGGTTATACCGAGTAATGTCTCATGGTGCCAGAGTAATGCCGGCAATTTTGCAGTAATGCCAATAATGTGCACGTAATGCTTTGTAATTCAATAAAATTTATACATATAAAGCCACCAGTTGCTACCCCCTCGGATCTCAAGATCTTGAATTCTGCAAACCTTGAAAAACTCTTGTTACCTCTATAAAATCTCCTGAAAAAATCTTGGAATCCGAATCATTATTCTGCAAATTTCCTGAATCTTGAGTCATCATTTTGTAAATTTCCTGGTTGCTTCTAAAAAAAGCTTCTTATCTACCTTTATTTCTCAATTTCTCTACATTTCTTCTTCGGTTAATTCTCTGTTTTTTCGTCTCAATAATTTTTGTGTATTCCAGGATCTTGAATTTTTCCGAATAGGTCGAGAAAATTCAAGTACCGGGAATAGAAAAAACATGATCATGAATGAGTTCTGTAAACCATCTGGTGCTTCTAGAAAAAGATCTTGTCAGATTCCTACGACTTTTAGATCCTGGATTGTTTTTCAAACCATTGACTAGTCAATTGTTCAATCGCGTCCCTCTTTTCTTTGAACAATTACCTCAAGTTTCAGAAACATGTGTTTTTATTTTAGCCAAACGACAAACTATACGAATCGTTCAGCGTATTCTGTCCTGGCGACCAGCTAGAAAATTTGGAATTACTAGAAACCGAAGACGTACTGATAGACTGGACTCAACCTATTTATCTAAATTTTACGCACGCGAGAATAATGAATAAAATCGAAGAGTTTTATGCGAAAATTGGAACAATGGAAAAGCTCGAAGGAGACTTTTACGGACTCGTCGAGCCCCAATTGGAAGAGACTGAGAGCGAATTGTGAGTAGATAGTTTTACATCAAAAATAGTAGATTTTAACTTTAATTTAGGGTGGTTGCGGAACAAGGCAAAATGTGTCAACTCAAAAAAGAACACGCTCAAATCATTCACGACTTGTATCCGGCAAACCATATGGAGTGCATAGAAATATTTGAGAAATTGATTGAAAAGCTTCCATGTTATGGAGTATTTTCTGCTCAAGGTATTTATTATACATATTGATATTTCAATAGTAACTGAAAATTTAATTCTTTAGGTGATTTAGCTGCATGGATGGTCCAGTCCTATTACGGAGCAATGTTTTCAATGCAAACTAGACCCGAATACAGAAGAAAAGGCTACGGGACAATATTGACGAAACGTTTAACAAAATTGGTAAAATCAAAATCCTCAAAAAAATTATCATTCAAAACTCGAATTCCAGGTAATAGAAAGAGGCTACCTCCCCTTTGTGGTGATCCGTCCAGAAAATGATGCATCTTTGGGCCTTTACGCGAAACTAGGATTCAAAAAGCACTTTAAAACTGTGCGAGCTATCTTAAGGCCCTATGAAGAAACTGGCGAGTCTCAGGGAGGCGGAGGAGGTGGCAAGGAGGTAGAACCACAAAGGGAAATAATGAATGGTGATTTAGAGGTTTAGGATGACCAATAAATTTGGCAAAAGAAAATTTTTTGCCTTCGTTAGTTAAAAATGTTGAAGATTTTAAACATGTTTTTTGGGTTAAAAGGATTACAAATGGACAATATGTTCATTTACAATCGATTATACCGCAGCAGTACCTTTTTGCAAAAGTTTTTTTCCGTTGAAAGCAAGCTTTAAATGAGGCTTTTCCCAAATAAAATAGAAGTTATTTTTTAAACGTAACACAGATTTTTCTATATGAGCATCTTATAGAGATAAATCCGTTTAGGACACAAACGTATTTTTCCATCTTGTAGCCTATTATGTTTAAAGATTGATGGTGATGGAATGTGCCAATATTGAAAGAGATGATGTAATTTTTATTTAAAAATATACCATATTATACAGGGTGTCCCACATAAGTACATGTGATTGTGTAAATAATTTTTTTAAATAAAAATTATAATGATCGGCAACTGATTGAATAGAACGACTCTTTTCTAAAGTCAAGTTTACAATAATAATTATTGCACGGCATTCCTCGTTCTAAACGAAACAAAAAATCCACTTAAGTAGTTTTATATAATGTATAAATAAAAACCAGATTCCAATCTAGCGGGCTTCAAACTTTTTAAGAGCTGTGATTTAATAAACTTTTATCCCTAGATTTTTCGAAATTACAAAAAATATGCTAGAAAAGTTTAAAATTAGATTTAAGAGAAAAACGACAAAAAAAAAAAAACTTTAGCCCGCAACATATTATTATACATTTTTTATATTATAGATATTATACAATTGATACATTTGTTTACTCTTATTATTAAGTAGAAAAAAATTTGTATTTATTGAGCATATGGTATAACGATATAATTTAGAATGTATGCCTCTAATTATAGAGTTTTTAATTATTATTCTTCCATTGGTTTCTTAAGACTTATTTAGTGAGTTAATAACTTTAATTGTAAAGTCGTTGATGATAATAATTTTACTAAGTTTTGACACAGCTAATCGATTTCTTAATCGGAGAAAAAATTTATTGGTTTGCAAAAGGATTCTGATTTCAGTTTTGTGTCCTTGTTGTTTGGTCATGTGGTTGCCTCATCTAAAATAATAAGTTTCATGTTAACCATATCGAGGTAGTGTATTTCTAGAAGGATTTTTATTTGGCTGTGGTTGAAAGTAGGTACCTTTGTCAACAATATCTCTAGAATAAAAAGGAATTGGTTCTGGTATTGAGACATTAGAGTTACTTGATGAAGATAAAATTCCTCAGTCTGTTTTGTGTTTCGCTTCGGAAAATAGTGGACTGGTTTAATGAAACATGGTTAGAGACATTTTACAACTTTTTAATCTGTTTCAAAGTTGATACAAAATATAAACTTAGCTCGACTACTGCGATGAGAGAAAACAATATAAAAATATTAAATTTTCACATATAACAACGGTCGTCACGACGAAATGCAGGTATGTAGTTGAAAAAAAGGGTGTAGAAAACCAATTGAAACTAATTATAAGGAGTCAGTACAAAATGCTAGGCCGGACTCACATAATGCAATAAGGAATGTAAACAGAAATAAACTTATAAAATAGAGAATACATAACACATTCCTTCAGCGTGTTGACTTAGATTCTTATTTTCAGTCTTGTTTGCAAATGAATTTGTGTTTTTGTCTATTTTATCATTCCAAATCCAAGATTGACTTGGTCAAAAATTGTTCGTAAATGGCAACCAAACAAGAATATAATAAAAACTTTGGAACCTCTCCTTCTTCTGGTTGGCCACAAAAGCAGAAAAATACAAACCTAGTTGAATTATTAACGTCAACTGACTTATTCTATAATGTAAATTGTGTTTCTATGAGCTAATTTGAACATTAAATATTATACTCTTATCAAATAAACCAACAAAAATGGGAATTAGTTTCTTGAAAGTAGGGCTGTGAATGTTATTAAATTAACAATTTTAACATAAACTGGCTTTCTGTTCAAGCTTATAAAAATCATCCAGAGGCGTAAACGCAAAATATTTTATTAGAAAAACCCTTACAAAGCAGAAGACGGGACATTTAAATATCGATTAGTTCAAAATACAAAACGTCCAATTGTATTTATTTTGATACGAATAATGTAAGAATTATTTTTTTAAATATTGAAAAAAATGCTTTGTGTTTATCCCTCAATGTTAGGAACATCAATACTATAGGATTCTTCCTTATCAAATAACCAAATATTGCATCAAGATATTCTCAAAATGTTCATTTTGTTGTGTATTGAGCCAAAAAAGCTTTTGGTTTCAATTTTATCCCAAAGAGAAATCAATACTTGAGTGAAATCTAGATTGCAAATCTTGAACATACCCATTTAATTTCTTTGGATAGAATATTTTTTTACAAATAAGGCTGTGATATAGCTAGTAACTAGTGAAAAAAAATTAGAAACAAAGAATTAACAAACAAGAAACTAATTCCAAATAAAAAAAAAAATGGAGGCTTTTTTTATAGTATGATACCTAAATGTAGCTGTGTGTTTGGTTTTGGAAATTATTTTGATTAAAGAACTGTATAATCTTGTGTGAAAACGTTTCAAATTATGATGGCAACACATTATTTATTCTATGACTGCTTACTATATTCAATAATTTTGTATATTTGAAAATATGCTTTTTATTTACTTCATTCAAAGTAAAGTTAGAGCATATTTTTCCTTATTCTCATATACAGTGTTTGTTAATTTCGTTTAAGTGTATTTTTTTTCAGAAATTGGGTACCAATAATGTTAGTAATGTACAGTAGGTATAGAAGTAGCCAATAGTGACCTCTTCAACTTCTAAACAAGCGTTCTTTAAGCCAGAAATAAACTAAATAAAAACAAATTTTATTTGTTTGTTTGATTTGAATACAAAGTGTAATTCCGATAATACTCAAGTTTATTTTACAAAAAAAATAAGATTTTCCCTAACCAGCTAGTGGATTTGCATGTATTGTAACACTATTTATTTTTGTATCATTGAGTGGTTTAAAATTTTTTGGATTGACAGGCAACTTTTCTAATTCATCTAGTGCTTCCAGTCCATCAATAACTCTGAAAAAAAAATTGAAAAATTACAAAATAGGAAGAAAAAGAATAAAATCACTTACTTTCCAAATATAGTATATTTGAGGTCTAAATGCGGTTGGGCTGCATATGTGAAAAAAAATTGGCTTCCATTTGTGTTGGGTCCGTTATTTGCCATTGAAATTGTGCCTCTAACATTATGCTATAGATAAAGCACAAATTTTAACACCAATTTTAACTGTATTATCGTCTTGTAATGATCTTTTATTTACCTTTAATTGTTCTTTGAATTCATCCTCAAACTTTTTGCCCCAAATAGAAGTGCCCCCTTTGCCGGTTCCTGTAGGATCGCCGGTCTGTACAATGAATCCTTTGATATTCCGATGAAACAAACTGCCATTGTAATAATCGCTGGCGCACAAAGCCAAAAAATTTTCGCAGGCTTTCGGACAACTTTCACAGAAAAGTTCGATTTTTATGTTGCCAACATCGGTGTGTAGTGTAACAGACTGAAATAGTCAGAATTGGAAATTGTGAGATGTACTTGTAAGTTTGTTGTTAATTTAGTTTATTGGGCCAATTTGGACACTTTGAATAGGAAATCACAATTTCTGAGTGAGTTACAAAGAAATTTACCCTACACTCTGATAGGTCAGTTAAGTTAGCCCCCACCCTCCACTGAATTTTTCTAAATGAAACATATCCTATAACTTTGCTGCACCAATTATAATTTTTGCTCCGCTACAGTGAAGATACTATGTCTAAGTATGTAGCCTATTAGGTGGGGAGGGGGGGGGGGTGGCAAATTAACGCTAGCCCCCTCCCCCCCAGTGAAAATGTCATTTTTATGCTCATTTTATTCTCCAAGTTTTGCTCCATGATCGGCGAGTTTTGCTCCATTACCTGGAATGAGCTACAGAGCTCCCAAGAATCTCTCTTTATTTTTGGTGACACTGAGTATTTGTTTGTTACATAGTAGAAGATATACAAATACTTTTTTTATTAATTCTCAGAAATGCGTTGGACGAATTGAATGATATTTTCAGTTTGTTGACACCCTTATGGGGTATCTTTTGGACTGCTCAGAGTTGACCCAGTAATTTCAGGGGTGTGCCCACAGGTATAAAACAATCAAAGATACACCTTTTTTGTCTCCTTATTTTTTTTCCGTATGCTGCTTTGTTTTCGAGATAAAATCTAAAAACTATTTTCGGCGAACCTCGAACGTCACTGACCTCCATAAATAAAAAATAAATTGCCTCAGAATTACCTGAAATTTTACCAGCCTATTTGTTGCTTAAAAATAAACTTAAAATAACAAAAAACTTTTTTTCTAAAACGCACGAATTTCTTAAAATTAATAATAAAATTTACTTTTTTTTAAAAAGTTTGATACCCTGTATCTGGAAAACGAAGCATTTCCGGACACATGTTTATTGAAAAAAAAGCTTTATTATCACGAGATCTACCATCCCTAGAAGTTAAGGGCGGTAAAGGCACTTTCCGCATGTGTTAGGTACAAAATTTTACCTATGAGCATCTACATCTCCAAAAAAAGGCATTGATAAAATTAATTAATGAACCAGTTTAATTAATGAAATTAGATAAGATTTAGAAATGATCAAAAATTCATTTTCTGAAAAAGAGAGGATTTTTTATTATAAATATCAAATTCTACTTTACGGCACACTATGCGGTAAAGTGCACTTTACCGCACACTTTGTATTCTACTTTACCGCATACTATGCGGTAAAGTGATACTTTCCATTTGCAAATACGTGCGGTAAAGTGCACTTTACCGCACGCTCGTAGGTAAAATTTTTTTTTTTTTACAAATCTAACACCCTGTATCTGGAAAGCGGAGCATTTCCAGATATATGTTTATTTAAAAAAAAGCTTAATTTTTACGAGATCTACCATCCCTAGAAGTTTGTAACAAACCTTTCGTGACACCCTCTATATACAGTACAACCTTGATAATCCGAACTAATTATTGCTAAGGTCAGTTCGGATTACCGATTTCTTCGGATTATCAAAATATGTGGTAAATTTAACTTGAATGTGCAATAAATATGCAAATAATCAAAAATAAGCTTTTTTTTTAAGAAAAATCTAAATGTACGTGATAATTAACTCTGAGTTCAACTTAGGCGAGACGAGTAAAAAAATTATGTAATGTAAAATAATGTATTTTTTTTTTTTGGTTCATACTTGGTGCTTCTCCAATTTCCGCTTTCTTTTCCATTTCTTTGAGGTCTGGTTTATTCACCTTCTGATAAATTGTCAGGTATGCAATCTAACTGATAAAAACGCAATCTGTAATCCCATTGGTCGGCCAGTTATCCGCCGATCAATAGAATTATAAAACGGTAAATTTATCTAAAAATAAAAATGTTCTCAGCTGCTTCAGAATTTTGTTTTGCCCATTTCGAACAAGTCTGAAAACATTCAACTGCTTATTTGTAAGTCACAATGATCAGTACGCGGTTTTCAGCAGTTGTTCGGATTATCAAGTTTTGTTCAGATTATACCTTGGAATGTTAGCTGTTCGGAGTAGCGGAGGTTCGGATTAACCGAGGGATTAATGCATGTTTGGATTATCAAGGTTGTACTGTATATTTTTTGATCCTTTTCTTTCATGGGAGCTTTTATTTCGAAACTCTGTAGGTAATGGAGCAAAACTTGCCTGGATAACTTAACTGACCCCAAACTGAGGATTTAATTTCATGAAATCTTTATTGGTGCAAAACGCATTTTGATATCTCTAATAGTTTTGTTGCTTGAGGGCGTTTCTCGATTTTCAGGCTATGGTCCGAATATAACCAGGGTTATGGTTTTGCGGTCCGAAAGTAATCAAATTACTCTGGTTCCTGGAAAAGTGGTTACTTTTGGACCTCAGTTTCCTGAAATCTGGTTAACCAAATGTCAAAATAGTTACCGACCATCGGATATCGGTTCTGTTGGTTTTATCCAATGTTACTTTGGTTAACGTTTGGTTATATTCGGACCATAGCCTAAGCAACACTGAAAACTCATAACCAAGCTCATAACTTTTATTTATGAAATTATTTAATTTCTATATACGCTTTCTATAGGTACTTTTTCAAGCAGAATTCAATATATAAACAAATGGAATTAAAACTATAAAAACTTACCATTTTTCCTATTCGTTTGCAGTCGGTATATACTTTTAAGTTTAAATTAAATAATATTGAACACTATTTGATTTGCTATTCTATAACTGTGTCTGTGTAGAACTAAGAACTACAGAGTAGTGTGTGGTGACAATATACTTTTTTAAAAAAAAATTAAACATTAAAAATAAAAATACAAAACACAACATAAACAAAAGTTTTGAGGTTAGGTTGTCGTTGTGTTAAGTTCTGCCTTCTGCCACTTCTGCCTGTTCCGTGCGTTCGTTATTTCGATCTGAGTTCTCCGAGCTTGAATTTATTTAAAAAGTGTATTCGGTGCAGGCTCATTCGCGTTCGTTTAATAAAATTTCGGGCACTTGGATACAGCGTACAACTGCTCTGTTCACTCGCTGGTCACATAATTAGGGATCCGCTCAGCACGCTCTACTCTTTAAGCAAAATACCGAACGCAAGGTTAGTTGTATTGTAGCAAGGATAAAACACATTAGTACTACAGGATAGCATATCCTCATAAGACCTGTGTGTAACAAATCTAAAGCTCTCCACCACGCTAAATCACCAGTTATGATGTAGGCAGCATGTCCTTTCTCGCCTTGGCGTGGGCTGTTTGCACCATAAGGTATGATTCCGCGGGCTTTTGCTTTATGCGTATTTGGTTGTACTACATTAATTAACATTCGAGAACAACTCTTTGTTTCCATGACTTATCTATTTTTACCTGTATGCGCGCGCAACTCGAGGCAATGCATTTTTATTGGCTAACTAGTACAGGTGTGAAGTAATCCATTTACACGCTGGGCATCTCCTTGTCCTTGTTCATTGCCCGTGGTCTGACAAGGATAAAATTATGCTTGATATTCAACTTGACGTAGCTTGAAAGCAAGGCTTGAAAGGTGATCGATTTTCAATTGTTTGTTTTTGATTGACAAATACGTTGCATGTCACGCGGTTTTCCTCCTTCCTTTTTTATCCCGTGCAAATAATAAGAACGGATTGCTATACGTAAGTCTAACATAATTTGGTAACTTTTGCCTCGTCTTGCGCAATAAGCGTTCTGCGTCTTTTTTTAACTAATAAAGTTTTCGTATTATTACCTCTTTGTTTGGTAAAATAGATAGGTCTATTAAATAATAATTTCCGTCAGTCAAATTCCAAACTACGACCGCTAGTGCAAACAGCTGACGACTTAAAAATGACGTCGGAAATGGTGACACACCAATATGATGGCGGCGATTACCAAAAACGAGGCCGATAAGCAATCCTTAGTAGTGTGTATTATCCTTTCGCATAGTGTTTGCTGCACCTGAAGTGCTCAAGAGCCCGAATCAAACCATTTAAATGCACGGAAGCCAGCGCATCTGTTCCTTTCAAATCGGGATCGACTCCCAGAGCGAGTAGCTCTAGTGTTCTAATCTCTTGAAAGGAATACAACTTTTGAGCAATGATATTTCACTGATCTGAGTATAAATGTAGAATAGGAGTATAATGCAGATCTGCTTGGAGCAGATCGTCTCATTATTGCTCGAAAAAAAGTACTTCCGAGTTGCGAGCAATCATTCTCTACTTTTGTAGCTCAAAACTGATGTTTCTGATCTCTTAGCATCAACTTCAGAAGCATTGGACTCAAAATTGTACCTTGCATCAAATCATCAGAGACATACACGAAGTGAGATCGGAATTAAGCTGTATCGGAATGGTGGAAAGTGCTTAGATTTGACAATCCACATGGCTGTTGCCACTTGCCACACTGCACATTTTGACCGGATGCTCAGCACCGTAGCACCGTTCAACATTCAAGCACCGATTTCGGCTCTCCGCATTAATTGGTGATCCGAAATCAAACGGACCAATGAAATATGCCTAGGTGCCGTATCCTATATCGGAATGTTTAGATGCTGCCCGGGATGGTGTGAAGATGGTGGGTGTTAGTGCGGTGCTCGTGTAGACGTAGTGCAGTGTTATATCACGTGATGAAGGTGTAATCGGCGGTGTAACACCGAATACACCATCATTTTGTACCGGAGTTGAGTTTGGAATGGGATTTTAGTGCAGTGTTAGTGCGGTGCACGTGTAGTGCAGTGTTATATCACGTGATGAAGGTGTAATCGGCGGTGTAACACCGAATACACCATATTTTGTAGCGAAGTTGAGTTTGGAATGGGATTTTAGTGTAGTGCTAGTGCGGTATTCGTGTAGTGAAGTCAATGACCTATTAACACAGATAGACAGAACAATAAACAATAATATCGGTTGACTACATGTCAGGAACCGCATCTCTCCCCACTACTTATTAATCCTTGTGTTATTTTGTATCTCTCTCTAACACGTGGAAAGCAATTATTTTTCAATGAAAATTAGCAACGCTGCAAAAAAATATATCCCACCTCGAATTCCACCTTTCCACCAATCAGCGGCTTCTATTCAATTGTCATGTCAAAATGCGACGAGCAGGTATTTTATGACAATTTCCATTTGTCAATCAGTGCGCAGTGAGTGTATCCGCATCTTTTTCTAAAATTATGTAAAATATAACGATAGAGATACACTTTTGTAGTACTAATTCTGGTTTCATTTTCAGAGTTGCCAAGTATGCGATAGTAAAATGGGGGCGGAGTTAGCGGAATCATTTGAATCCCTACTCCTAGCCGCTTTCACAGCTCACCCCCCCTGGCCAATAAACATGTAGTCAACCAAAACAAAGCTATTTGATCACTGGGATGTTCTGTGAGTTCTCGGACACGAAGACACATAAATCCTCTAATCCCTTCTTTTTTTTGCTTGTTTTCCAACTTTTATTTATCCTGAAGATTCCCGAGTTTGATTAATGTTCCCTTGGTGTTTTTATGAAGGAATTATTAGAAGTTGCTGTTTTTGCAGTCATAACTCATAAATGGGGTGTAAACTAGTTTTGACATACCAAAGCGTTACGGTAAAGCATCCGATAAGTTCCGTTAGATAGGCAGCTCCGCTAACGCTAATACAGTAAGAACTATCATACTTGTCAAATAGAGTTACGGTTTTTGAAATTTGGACGGCACGAGAAATCTCTATTAATTAACGAACGCCACAGTGTCAATAGTGTAAAAAGTGTCGACACTTTCTACCACTCCGAACTGTTCCTCGATACAAAATGATGGTGTATTCGATGTTACACTGTTACGGCTCATCCTCAATCAATTTAGTAGCGAAGTGGCACTTCGGCACGCAAGCTTGGAAAATGTTGTTTAACGTTGGCATCCTTAATTCAATTCCGTGCTGGCATGCACATCGACTCCGAAGTGAAGTTTGCAAGCTGCCAGCTTTTTCGATGCGTGCCGACTTATGTCATGCGCAGTACGGTTAAAAATTAATTTAGGTTATCCTTGCGTTCGGTATTTTGCTCGAAGAGCAGAGCGGAGCTGTAATCACGTGACCAGCAAGCGCACAGAGTAGTTAAACGCTGTATCAGAGGGCTCGAAATTTTAATAAACTAACGTGAATGAGCCTACACCGAGTACATTTTTTAAATAAACGAACGGTAAATTTATGCTCGGAGAACTCCGATCAAAATACCGAACGTACGGTTCGTGACCGTACTACACGTAGAGCAGACTGAAAATTGACAGCATTGAGGATGGGTATCAATCTCAGCACGCGTGCCAAAGTGCCACTTCGCTAGCAGATTGATTGAGGATGTAGCTTGACACCGCCGATTACACCTTCATATATATAAAACCCTGCAACTACACGAACGTCGTACCGCAGTTCGCACTAGCACTACAGTAAAATCTCATTCCGAACTCAGCTATGGAACGAAACTTAGAACAACAAATAATTATTTTTTACATTTGGCAACGCTGGATTTAAAAAGAGTGCCATTTCGTTTTGGAGCTAACTTCACCTCAATGATTATACTTTACTTTCGCGCCCTTTTATAACAGCCAGTCTGCCAGAAAAAAAAAATAGAAGGCATCATCCCCAAGCATTTTATTTTGGCGTTGTTTATGAAATTTGAGTTGTTTAGTAAGCAGTTAAAATTATTTCATTCGTTTTCGAGTGCTGCCCTTGATAACCAGCAGTAAAAAGTGTTTCAAAACCTCCATTGTAAGTTATTGCCTCAACTAAAACGTAAGTACCACTTTCTTGATTTTTGTCGGTAGACAAAAAAGTACCGGGATAAACCAGAAAACAGCTCCATTAAATATCCCAATACTACTTATATTATTCCAGTTATTAACGATGTCTCGTCGCGACTATGATAAGGACAGGGACGACCTCAAGACCTTCCTAATGGAATACTGCATCGAAAATACTCAGGGTGGCAAACAGTTCAAGTACTCCGATCAGCTCCACAAACTGGCGCACCGTGACCAAGTTGCCATGCATATCGAACTGGACGACTTGAACGATTTCAATGAGGACTTAGCAGAAGCTGTTATTAATAATTCCAGAAGATATGCATTGCTCCTATCAGATATTGTGTTTGAATTGCTGCCTACGTTTGTACAGAAAGATGTGGCGGCCAAGGATGCTTTGGATGTTTATATCGAGCATAGGTTAGAGTATTTAAAGTTTTAAATTTAGATATATAAACCCCCATATAAACCATTTTTAGGGTTGTTATCTCAGTTTATTGTATTTAGAATACTGTATATTTAAATAATAGTCTAGTAGTTTAGTCATTGATTAAAGCATTAAAAAAAAGTTTCCAGGTATAGTATTTCCCGAGGTATTTCCAAACTCATTTGGAACAAGGTACCAACTGGTGGCTGACTGGTCACTGAAAATGTCCATAAGAAATGCACTGTCACTAGTCTGCCACCAGTTATGATTTATGTTCACCTTGTTCCAATTGACTTTGGAAAAACTATACCTCTAGTACTCATAACATTAGAATATAGGGAAAATGTCTATTAACTCTCTTGCTCATTTGTGTTTTTGAGTTTAGGTTGGTTACAATATCAAAAACTACTCAGCAAATCAATTCCATGATGCATTTGACACTGGTCTTATAAATTTTTATTGAGTCTGTAAACTCTATCGGATCCCCTTTTTGGCACTTTTTGCAAAAACCCCTGATATCTGCTGTTTTGGAGTTACCTAAATTTTCTAGACCTAAAGTTTCTAGCAAAAATTTGAGTTCAAAGTGATTATAACTAAACAAAATCCACAAAAAAATTGCATAATATAAGGTTAATGTTCAATGTGAAGCAAGAGAAATATCCAATAGAAATATCTATCTTCAATGTCCATTTCATTATTATTTGAAAATGTCTCTCTCCTACCTACATAAATTTATTATTTGCAATAATCTTTTCTTCTGAAATGGGCAAAATATAAAAGATAAAATCCTTTAGGCTGATGATGCAACAAAGAAGCAGACAACCAAATGAAGTGCACGATCAAAAAAACCAATTTCCACAGGAACTAATGAAAAGATTCGAAATTTATTTCAAAGATTTATCTACAAGAAAACACCAGCCCATCCGTGAAGTTAAAGCCGATCAACTAGGCAAACTTGTATCAGTCAGAGGTAAAATACTGAAATAACCTTCAAAAATCTGGAATTATTTATCCAATTTTTAAGGTATTGTCACCAGAAGCACAGAAGTAAAACCAATGATGTGTGTAGCAACTTATACGTGCGATCAATGCGGTGCTGAAACCTATCAGACTATTACAGGTTTAAGTTTCATGCCAGAAACTTCATGTCCCAGTGATGATTGTAAATTGAATAAATCCGGAGGGCGGCTATATTTGCAAACAAGAGGATCAAAATTTGTTAAAGTAAGAACTTTATGATTTATTATAGTTTTTCCAATATTTTATTTTTTTTTAAAATTAGTTCCAAGAGGTAAAAATCCAAGAACATAGCGACCAAGTACCTGTAGGCCATATTCCTAGAACGTTGACAGTGTTTTGCAGAGGCGAAACTACCAGACTTGCTTCGCCAGGAGATCATGTTGCGATTTCTGGTATATTTTTGCCATTGGTTAGGCAAGGATTCAAACAGGTACTAAATTAACCTTTAAATAATATTTAAACGGCTTATTTGAAATTTTTAGATCACATCAGGTTTGCTCTCTGAAACTTACCTGGAGGCTCACAAAGTAATGTTATTAAATAAAACTGCTGAAGATGAAAATTCTGCCAACCAGTTAACACGCGAAGAATTAGATGTACTCACTGAAGACGATTTCTATACAAAATTAGCCCTGTCCATAGCTCCCGAAATTTATGGACATGCTGATGTTAAAAAGGCTCTTCTTTTACTTTTGGTTGGAGGTGTTGATAAAAGGCCAGACGGTAAGAATTTTGCTTTGTTTTCATGAATCTTGTTTCATGGTAATCATTTCTAGGCATGAAAATTCGTGGAAATATCAATATATGTTTAATGGGAGATCCTGGAGTGGCTAAATCTCAATTATTGGGCTTCATTGACAGATTGGCTCCAAGAAGTCAATATACCACTGGCAGAGGTTCATCAGGAGTCGGTTTAACTGCTGCTGTTATGAAAGATCCCTTCACTGGAGAGATGATGTTAGAAGGTGCGTGCTTATTTATAATATTTTTATTTTGTTAATAAAATGCCATTTTCTACAGGTGGAGCTTTGGTTTTGGCTGATCAAGGAGTATGCTGTATTGACGAATTTGATAAAATGGCCGATGAGGATCGTACTGCTATCCATGAGGTTATGGAACAACAAACTATCAGTATTGCAAAAGCGGGTAAGGATAATAACAATAATGAGTTCGAATCGATAGTAGTGTTAGTTTATTCAACTGACAAAAATTAAATGTATAGCATAGGGCCAATATCGAAGCCAATATTATATTCTGTGTTATTTTTGACAAATCATTGTTTATGGCGATCTTCCTAGTTCCAGGAAAACCACATCAGTCTGTTGGTGTTTATTATTTATGTCACCGCCAGATAATGATATGCTCATTGAATTATCAATAATTGCAGTAGGCACTTGAAACAAATTCCTTAGTTGTCCACATATAGAAATATTTTAAATTCTCTAAATCCTGATAGAAATCAATGAACTCACATAAAAATATAGGGATAAAAAGTAATTCACTGCACATCACAAGCTTGTTACGTTGTCATTCCAGTTTGGATAGCCTACTATGTTGGAGATTTTGACATCTATGACTAAAGTTTATCCATTTCATCTGTTTTTACTTGAAAATATCCTATTTTTCAGGTATAATGACGTGCCTCAATGCCCGTGTATCAATCCTAGCAGCTGCTAATCCTGCGTACGGTCGTTACAATCCAAAAAGAACCATCGAACAAAACATCCAATTACCAGCTGCCCTTTTGTCGCGTTTCGATCTTCTGTGGCTAATTCAAGACAAAGCGGACAGAGACAATGACTTAAGACTGGCCAAGCACATTACATATGTACACCAGAACTGTAAACAACCTCCAACTGAAACCGAAGCTCTGAATATGTCAGTCATGAGGAAATATATTGCTTTGTGTAAATTGAAGGAGCCAATGATACCTGAAGAATTGACAGAATTTATTGTTGGGGCGTATGTGGAGTTGAGGCAGGAGGCTAGAAATTCGCGAGATATGACTTTTACATCGGCTAGAAATCTTTTGGGGATTTTGAGGTTGTCAACTGCATTAGCTCGTTTGAGATTGTCTAATGTTGTTGAAAAGGGTGACGTCAATGAAGCAATCCGTCTAATGGAAATGAGCAAAGATTCTCTAAATCAAACGTTCGAGAACAAAGGTTACCGCCCACCAAACGTTAATGATAAAATTTTCGACATTATTGGAGAATTGGCGGGAGGCGAAAAAACAGTTAAAATATCTCAAGTACTTGAAAAATGTGCTAGCAAAGGCTACAATCCCGATCAGGTTGATTCTTGTATCGAAGAATATGAAGAACTCAACGTTTGGCAAGTAAATCAGACCAGAACAAAACTTACTATTATTTAGATTAAACTGTATCTTAAGTTTTTTTTCATGATTTTGTACTAGTTGTAAGCGATTTTTTGTATTGAACATTTTCATAGTAAATTTGTGGGATTTTTAGTTAGGCAAGTTTTTTTTTTTAAACAATATTTTATTATAAAACGAAATGTAAGAAACATTACATCATCCAAAGCGACTAAATACATACAATTATTATTGTGCAAAAAATAACTTCGATATTCTTCAAACTTTAGAAAGTAATCTTTGACTTCTCTTATCTCCATATTATTTTATAACATATAAATATTCTTTACTTTTATAATTCCAATTTTATTTTACTGAATAAATTACAAGCACAATACATATATATATTTTTTTAATTGTTCCAAAAATCAACAGGGGTAGGAGGTTATATTTTAACAAGTACAGCTGACAGTTTAAAGACAAACTCAATTAAAACTGAAAAAAAAATCACCTTGTACACATTTAATTAAAAAAAGTATGCAACTTAAACATAAAAGTGATCACATTTCAAAGAGAGATATTAGCATCATAATATATAATACAATCCTCCAAAGCACTGAAATCGTTGCTTTACAAGATTGCCTTTTCTTTTATCTTTTTAGTACGTATTATAAGAAAATAAATTAGTAATTAAACTAAATTAATAAAAGCCTAAAAAGTTTTTCTATGTACTGCACGTTGCCCTTCTTCGTCAAATTCCCGTTTTGAAATCCACATTTTCTTGAAGGTGTCCAATGAGCCTAAAATCGAACCTCCTATCCATGTGGAGTAGAGCCTTTCTTGTGGTGCAGAGATCTATAAGCATGTTTACATAATTACCAGGAAAAATAATTCACATGCTACTTACTTTAATTTGTACTTCTTTTGGAGAATTTTTTCTGATTTCTGACAACAACCTATCACCAAAGCCTTTAAAAAGTGTGGATCCACCAGACAAGACTATATTTTTAAATAAGACTTTCCTCAGGTCCAAATCTGATTTTTGAATCGAATAGAGGAGGACGTCATGAAGACCTTCACTTTCCTCACCTAAAATAAATCATAAATAAAAAATTCTTTGTATCAAGTACATTCTCTTACCAATCAAATCGGGTTTAAATAAAATTTCTGGAGCCCTAAATCTAGCCTGGCCAACTTTAATTACACTACCATCTGGTAAAGTATAATTGAGCGGTTCAGTTTCAACAGATTCTTCTTTGACTGGATTATTTGCTAAGTAACAAACTTTCTCTTTCAGTGTTCTCACAGATTCAAACTCAGCTGTTGTCCGAAAAATGCTGCCTTCTTTCCGTAGAAGCAATCTAAACCATACAAATTTTGTAGAGTCAAGTTTTTTTTTGGGTTTAAATTTACCTTAAGTATCTAGAAACATCTCTACCAGCTATATCCGATCTCATGATGCTATGAGGTAAGGCAAATCCTTCATAGATAGGCACTGAATGTGTTACACCGTCACCCGAGTCTAAAACTACTCCTGTAGTTCGACCAGTTGAATATCTTGAATTTGAAAATGGTACATATAATAATCAAGGGTGAAAAATAATTATGAAATTAATACTTACAAACTAAGTACGGCTTGCACTGAAATAAACAAGGCGGGCACATTAAATGTTTCAAACATAATTTCGGCAGCCTTTTCTCTATTAGGCCTTGGATTTAAAGGCGCTTCAGTTAGTAATACTGGATGTTCTTCTGAGAATGTATTGAGTTGGTCTTTACTACAAAAAAAAAAAAGATGTTAAAGCTAAATCTATAATTTAATACAAGTGAGTGTTGAGTTATTGTGGTTTAGTTAAAATTAAAAGATTGAAGAATAGAGGTTTGCAAATATTATTTGATCACAAGTCACCAGAAAAAAAGTTATCCATGTCAGTTGGCATTTTTTTCTATCAAATGGAAAATGTGCTTGCTATTTAACCCCTATATTTGAGTAAGGCGATCAAGCTGACATGTCAAATTATCGAATGTAATACCACAAGAGGTTTCAGGATTACCGGATAATACTTTTACCTGTCACGAAACGTGTTATGCAGCAACACCACGACTCCGAAGGAGGAGTGGTGTTGCTGGTAACGCGTTGAGTGTCAGGTAAAAGTATTAGGTAATCCTGAAACATCGAGTGGTATTTAGAAGGTTATACAACGAACTAAACTTATATGCTTTATTAATTTTTATTATTATTAATGACAAATGCCACCAAGCGCGATAATCCCAAAAGGCTTATCACTTATTAAGCCTCTCGTGTCATATGTCAATAATGTACAGTAAGTTGTATAATCACTGAAATTCCATGTTTTTAGCCGGAAATTCCTTGGCATTCCACTTGTGGAATTTTCTGGAATTTTACTAAAATGCAGTAAGTAAGAACTCAAATTTAATGTTGGGAATTTCGGAGTAATTCATTTAGGATTTCGTGTAATTCGATCGGAATTTCACTGAAATTTCATGTAATTCGAGAGGAATTAAAATTTAATGTGAATTCTATGAAAAAATTTCACATGTAATTCCTTTTTCAGAATAACATAATTATTCTATCGAAATTCCACCAAATTATGGAATTCCGAGAGACTCTAACAGATTTTTGGGGATTCCAAAGGATTTTTGGGAATTTCAAAGGAAATATTTTTCAGGAATGTTAATGATTTTTTGCAGGATTTTTTTGGTTTTAATGAAATTTTGTTAGATTTTGTAGGATTTTATGCAATTTCAAGAGATTTTGTGGGATTTTGTTAAATTTTTAAGGATTTCAAAGATTTTTAGGGATTTTGAGTAGATCTTATGAGATTTTCTGGGATTTCGACCAACTTGTACAAGGACTTTGACCAGTTAACCACCCCTCGATAGATTCAAATTGTATATAATAAACTAATTTCAACCACAGAGGACTCAAGAGCGCTACAGAGCAGATCTTAATTTAATAAAATATTTTTTTTTAAGTAAATTAATATACTTATTTATTTTCACTAATTTTTGTTAAACTTTAACATGTTTCACTACACTGTAGCTTCATCAGAAAGATGTATACATAAAAGTCTTATTGATCTTAATTGCTTTGCCCTCTGGTGTAGGTGTAGAATAAATGACTAAGAGGCCTATTCTGTAACTCGTAACAACATCGTTATTCAACAATTGTCGTTAGCTAACGACTTTTTCGATTCAGTAACTTTCGGCTGTCGTTATTTAACGCTAAAATGGACGCAAAAGCGTCGTTAGATTACGACGGCCCAGTGGCACTCGTTAGAAGCATAACGGTCGTTACAGTTGCATACTGGTAGTGTTTTTCGTATATTTAACTGATGATTTTGATTGATGATGGATCCAGAATTAGTAGAAGTTGCTCTTGATGAAGTTCGCAAACGTCAAGAGATTACTTTTATCAAATAGGAAATGGCTGATCATTATTTAAGGCGAGGAGGTTTTTCCATAGACATGTACGCAATACCCTGGAATTGCCAAAAAAAGATTTTCATCAAAGGTTTAGACCAGATAACGAAACTGCTCAATCTTTTTACACAATTGTTTGGCAAAAGGAAGTTACCACCGTTAACAGAAACCACTTGGTTCTAGTCGATTTACAGCATCATCACAAAGCACTGTTACCTGCTATATTCATGAGGTGGTAGATGCACTTGTGGGCAATTTCGCGAACGTGTATATTCGATTCCCTAAGAATCCTCAAGAAACAACCGTTGTATCATTGTACCAAATGGGTTTTCTATACAAATTTTCGCATTCCAGGATTAGCTGGTTTATTGTCGACTGTAGTCACATAGAAATTGTTACACCAACGCATTTTCAACTTGGCCTTGACCACTAGAGATGTAAAATATAGGAACTTTTGACTACTCATAACTATTCGTTACTTTTTAGTAATGTACTCGTTACTAAATATTCGTTACTCAAATACTCGTTCTGACTGGAATATATTATTGAATCTGGTCGAAGGTTGAATAAACAAAAAAATGTATGATGATAATAATATTTATAGTATGCAAAGTGTGTTCAGCGTTATTTCACTTTAGCTGTGCAAACAGAGCTAACAAAATTAGAAGGTTAGAAGCCAATTTCTGTATTTGTTTGGAATGTGAAGATCATTCGACAAAAAATGGTCAAAGTTCCGATGCAATTTCGTACTTCAAGCAACAGATCAGCTATCTAACAAATGAGGTAACCCTAAAAAACCGTATTATAAAAGAGTTGGAAGAAAAAAATGGAATATTGGTTGAAAATAACATCGTTCTGAAAGAAAACAATGGTCTATTGGTGGAAAAAATCCAAAGAATTCTCTACAACGAGATAAACAAAGTAAAAAAAACAGACCTTCAAAACAAAAAAGACCTTCATAATAACGAAAATATCCCAATGCCACAAAAAGGACTTGGCAACGCTGTTAATCAACAACCCGATACCGCCAAAGATAATCAATTGAACAAAGTGTCCACTACTCCCACCTACTCCAGAGTAGTTAAAGCTGCACAGGGCCGCCAGAATCTGCGCATTTCCATTCCTGCCAAGCGAAGCGGCAATATTAATCCAAACAACCAACAATCAGCTGGTTCTGACATATCGAGTTCCCAAAAAAAGCAAAACAAACAGTCCGCGAATACAAATAAAGAATTATCGAAGTCGCCTATTATTATTTTTAGCGATAACGAAGACAAACAACAGGATGGTTTTGTGTTCCCGAGAAAAATGTTTAAGAAAAAGCGGCTTGGAAAAGCTCAACCTACTCAAGAAGGGAATTTTGTCGGTGGGGACCGCAAGGTATAGCTCTATCTGTACAGAGTTAAGAGAGAGTGCACTGAAACCGACATTATTACTTACATAAAAACTCAACCAGGCTTTACCGATCTACCAGTCACTGTTCGTGAAATACCATCTGAGCAGAACAAACTAAAGTGCTTTGTGGTCACAGCCCCATTACAAAAAAAGGACCAAATGTATGACCCAGAATTTTGGCCACAATTTGTTGGGGTAAGAAGATTCGATTTCAGGAAACATAAAACATTTTTGGAATCTTTTGCAGGTGATTTTTTACCCAAAAACTAAATAAATTGTCATCACAAAATTCCTCCAACCAAACAAAATGTAAAATAAATATTGATTCTCAATCATCAGTGCTTCATCTAAATGTTGAGGACTTGAAGAACATACCAGAAACTAATAGTAGTACTGACCATAATTTATATATTGGTCATGTTAACATCAGGTCCCTTGTTCCATGCTTTCCTGATGTCTGCGACCTGTTGCAACAACAAAAATTTCATATTTTTGGAATAACTGAATCTTGGCTTACACAAGAATATCCTGACAACCTCGTGAATATCCCCGGGTATAAGTTATTCAGAGCAGACAGAGCTAGTAGGGGAGGAGGTATTTGCTTGTACGTATCGGATTGTTTGCAAAGTTTGGCAGTTAGCATATCAGAGGTACTTATAAGTGACTCACTGGAACAATTGTGGGTAGAAGTGAAGTATAGAAACAAAACATTGCTAATAGGTACTTTATATAAACCGCCATTAGTCTTCTATCAATCTTTATCTAGTGTAGAAAATGTATTATCTAGTTTATATGCAACTTATAATCATGTTATCTTAATGGGAGATTTGAATATCAATTTCTTGTCTAACTCAGTGGAGTGCAAATACTTGCAATCCCTGTTGCAAGTATTCAGTTTGAAACAAATTATTACTGACCCGACAAGGGTAAGTAGAAATAGTTCAACTTTAATAGATATTATTTGTGTAAATGATAATATAGATGTTCTTAACAGTGGCACTATGGGTATGCTCAATATGACTGACCATCGACTAATTTATTCTCTAGTAAGTATTGTAGCTCCCAAACTAGTTAAAAAAACAATTACATATAGAGATTTTAAACATTTTAATAAACTCGAGTTTGAGCAAGATCTCCAGCATATAAATTATGACGTAATCATGCAACAGGAATCTGTAAATAGTATGGTGCTAGTACTCAACGAGCAATTAACTGACATTTTCGATAGGCACGCTCCACTAAAATCCGCTGTGATAAAACATAAATATAAACCGTATATTACGGATACCATAAGGGAAATCATTAAATTAAAGGAAAAAGCATTTAAGAAATTTAGAAGAACGGGCCTAGTGGAGCATAAATCTTTTTATTTAGACATCAAAAACTACTTATCATTTGCAATTCGCAGTGAAAAACAAGCATACATGAACTTTGAACTTAGTAAACACAAAAAAAACACAAAAAAATTATGGTCTGATGTGAGTAACTGGAACATCCACTCAAAAACTAATAGTGAGTTACCTGAACACCTAAAAAATGTTAACCAAATTAGTCAAGCTTTTGCCAGTGTGAGTCAGTTAGCTGTTGCGGTTGATGATACTCTCCTCAATTTTTATAACTCTAACAGGTTTGAGAGACCTGATGATAATACACTTGATTTTGTAAAAATTTCCGAATATGATGTACTCAAATCGTTTAAGAGAATTAAGTCAAAAAGCATGGGCATAGATAAAATAAGCTACAATATGATACTTTTTAGCATAAATAGTGTTGCATATTATGTTGCTGAAATTGTCAACAGGTCTATGGAAACGGGGGAGTTTCCAACAATATGGAAAACCTCTTTGATTAGGCCTTTACCAAAAAACAACAAAATAGAAAATTTTTCTGAGCTGAGACCCATTTGTCTGCTGCCAGTGTTTGCAAAAATGTTTGAATTTATAGTATCAGATATTCTCTTGGAATTTGTTGATAATTATAGTATTATACCTGTAACACAGTCAGGCTTTCGAAAGAACCATGGTACTGCTACAGCCCTCACAAATGTAACCACTGAAATTGCTACAAACATTGATTCCTCGAAAGTGTCCTGCTTGGTCCTACTGGATTTCAGCAGGGCATTTGACCTAATCAATCATGATCTTTTAGTCTCGAAATTGAGGTACTATGGTTTTTCTGAGAGGGTCTGTTTGTGGTTTAGTAGTTATCTCCAACCAAGAACTCAGGTTGTGGAGCTTGAGGGGGCAAGATCAGAGCCTGTTGAGACGTCACTTGGGGTCCCACAGGGAAGTGTACTTGGCCCCTTATTATTCAATATTTACACAAGTGATCTTCCACAGCAGGTTAGGACTTGCTCAGTCAACCTCTATGCTGATGATACCCAGCTGCTGGTTGGTTTTCCTCCAGAGGATTCGTGTCTGACTATGCAGAGAGTAAATAATGATCTAGAGGAAATATATAAATGGTCAACAAAACATGGCTTGGTGCTGAATGCAACAAAAAGTCACTATATGATTATAGGTTCAAATAATAATAGGCAACAATTTCTCCAATATAACTTCACAACCTTACATATTAATGGATCTATTTTGCCCTCTGCAGAGTCAGCCAGGAATCTGGGAGTTACCTTTGATGAGAGGCTCGACTTTCAGCTACACGTAAACAAAAAGCTGTCATTTGTATATGCCAAGCTGCGAAGTCTATATCCTTTTAAATTCATCCTACCTAGTGAGATTAAACTGATGCTGGTTGAAGCACTAATTTTTCCTCAGTTGGACTACTGTAGCGTAGTTTTTTACCATTTTCTTAGCTCTGAATATAAAAACAAAATACAACTTGCACAAAATTCTTGTATAAGATTTGTTTTCTGTGTAAGAAAGTTTGATCATGTGACTCCCACATATTTAGCAAACAGCATACTAAAATATGAGCAACGTGCTGTCCTGCATTTTGGGCAATTTGTTTGTAAAATTTTTAAATTGGGCTGCCCGAGTTACTTGGCGAAGTATTTTATCGGGAGGCAAGACTTACACAATCTTAATCTAAGAAATATGGTTCGCTTTCACATACCTCAGCATAAAACAGCAAAATTTAGAAACTCTTTCTCTTTTCAAGCAATACAACTTTTAAATTCAGATGTTTTCAACTTAATAACTTCAAGCACAATTGTTAATTTCAAAAAGAAATATAAGTCTTGCCTTCTACAGCAGGCACAACAAATAAACACATAAACTGTGAAAATTATTGTTTTCTAAAGCAAGGTAGCATGGAAGAACACTATGTGAATGTTTACCTTTTATGTAATGTAAACTTTTTGTTATGTTGCATAATAAACGTTTTATTTATTTATTTATTTATTTATTTATTTATTATAATATTATTTGGTATAAACAACAAACAAATATAAATAAATTAACCCAAAATTTCAAATACTTTTGAAAAGGATAAAAAATATGGTGCGTAATGCGCATAGAGAATTTCGATTTGAGTACTCAAATAACTATAGCGCCGGCGATTTTTGTATTCGTTATTTCGGATCCGGGCAAGTAACGAGTACTCGAGTAACGAATAGTTACTTTTCTGACACCTCTATTGGCCACCCTGTTGTCGTCCTCATGAACAGAAAGAATTTTTATAGCAACAATTGTCAGCTAATTTTTGATGTAAATTTGATGATCCTTGCCGAAAATGCACCCTATTCAAGTAGGGTGGAACGAAGTTGTAGTTGTTAGGTCGATAACGAGAACGGAAGCTAACGACTTTGTTACTGAATAGCTTTTTTAAAATTGTCGTTACCAAGTCAGTTGTTACGACAGCGATATTGTTATGTAACGACAAGTTACAGAATACGCTTCTTAGGTAGATTGAATATTTAGAAACGCAAGGAGTTATCCTTTTTCAAATGTCATGTAGTCATATTATTATACCCATGTATGCTTGGACAGGAACTAGAGAGGGTAAAATCTTTGAAAGACTCAGCAGTAACTTTCAATATATTGAAAATATTCGCAATAGAGCCTTAAAATTCCTTGGCTTTGTAGTCTGCCCTTTGAAAGACTTTAACAATACTGTGCATTGTTTATTGGTCAGTAGTAAGACCCATACTTGAATTATGCTTGTTCTGTCTGGTCCCCAAACTACCAGGTTCATATATGTATATTCTGGAAAGGATCCAAAGACTGTTTCTCAGACATATAGGTTATAGATTAAGAATTCCTGTAAAAAATTGATGAATTATCTGTATTATTACACATCCCTAATCAGAAATCCGCAGGAGAAATCTTGGCATATATGCTTTTTACATAAAATTGTGTATAATTTAATTGATTGTACTTCTCTGTTAGCTTATATAAATATTCATGATTCATGTTACGGATGTCAATAACCGTTGGTTAAAACCGAAAAACCGGTGTTTTCTTTTCGGTTAACCGGTTAAAACCAGTTGTTTTTTGCTTCCAGTTATAACCGGATAACCGGGTTTCATACCTAATTTATTTATTTTATTTATTTATTTTCACTTCCAACGGGCAGCGGCCCAATTTTACAAATATTGCCACAATAATAATATTAATACTAATAACAAACCACATATAAATAAAAATTTTAAAAAGAGTACAATAAATTATTTCTAAATTAAAAAATTGAAAGGACAACAAAAAAAAGCCAAAAACAGATCACAGGGTAAATCACTAGATTACAAAACAATATCACAGTGATAGCTTCATTTGGTGCAAAGACGCAGCAAATATGTCCACCTGTATCTCATTGGCATAAGACATAGCCCGATTAATGGTTGTGTGTTGGCCATAAGAGGTACGATGTCTCTCCAACGAAAAAAATGATTTTCATACATAGTATACTACCCCATTATTCTGATAAACTTCGGAAAAAAAACCAGTTAATAGGGATAACCGGTGTTTTATGTCAGTTATAACCGGGCAGTTAAAACTGTTACTAAATTAACTGGTTAATGGAAAAACCGGTGTTTCAATGAAAATTGACATCCCTAATTCATGTATCTGCACCTCGATCTGCACGATACCTATGCAAGACAGAATGAACTGTTCAATATAATAAACCTGCCCAGAGCAGATTCGGTCTCCTAAGTTCAATTTCTCATAATACAGTTACCTTCTCCTCTTTTGAAAATTGGGATCCAGAACTGCTTGGAGCAGATACAAATGAAAACTTTCTGTATTTTTCTCCTCTGCACTTACCTGTATATGTAACTCCAAATCTTTTCCATATCATTCCAATCAGTAACTATACCATGTTCCATGGGATATTTAAGAGATAGAAGGCCTCTGTGTTCTTCGGCTTTGGGGCCAATGAAAAGATCTCCCTCTAGAGCGCCAGCCATAACTCTCGTGTGTTTTGGTCGGCCAACACTAAACAATAATTAGAACATTTTATCCTAAAAACTTTTCGTGAGTAACTTACTAGTTTGGGAATCTGCATTTTGGTATTTGATCTCCGGCAAAACCTGCTTTAATAATCCCTGTGCCCTATGGAAAAGAATAAAATGAATCAATTTTAACTAATATTTTGGGCTTATACTGGACTTACATTGTCGATTACCACTGGCTGATTAACAATCACGTCGTAGGCTTCCATAATTTGAATAAAAAACTAACAATAAATAATCAGTGATTTAAAAAAACACACCTTTTTCCTTAAATTACACAAAAATATTCGGTTTTTTTAGTTTTTGGGTTGTCAAAAAATCCCTAGGACAAATTTGACACCGACTCTGACTCATCAATAACTTGAACTTAGGCACAAAAAAAAAAGAAAAAGCAGAATGACGTGAAGTTAGCTCCGCTATTGAAATCATGAATGAACTTATTGCGAACCGGTGCGACACTCGTTCCAAAATGTCTGTTCGAACTACACCAAAGATATTTTCGAACTAAATAAAACGATAAATAATTGTTCTCCTATGATAGCTTTCAGTTATATAATATATAATATATAATCCGAATCATCTATTATAATCTCGAGAGAGCCCTGCTCAAGAACCGATGATCTACGATCTACTAAAGAAAAAAAGTAGAGCTGGCAACGTTGCTAGAGAGAGGAGCTTGGCATCTTGACCGACAACCTAACCTAACATTTAAATTAAATAAATAATAGTTCAAGTTGTTCAAGTTCAGATCCAGTCGTCAATTCCTCCTGTTAAAGTAAAGACTTGAAGAGTGAAGTCGCTTCTAACTTTTTCAAGGGGAGGAAAACCCCAAAACTTTAATTATAAATTAACCGAAAAAGTATATGTAATAACAATAGATTAAATTCTCTAATCAAAATCTGCGAAAATGTTCAAGTTTGTACTGATTGTTTTAGCTTGTAGCTTTTTGGTGCCCCAAGTTTTGGCTCACGACGATGATGATATTCACGTTTATAAGTACGATGTGGACAATTTTTATGAGAACGTCTCGAAGAAGCATCATTTTGTCATGTTTTTTGCTCCTTGGTAAGTAATTTTCTTTGTTGTTTCTTTAATGAAATGATTGCAAATTCTCAATACAAAAGTACCTACTTGATTTGAAATCCTTTGTTGATAAGAATTGAAGGAAAGGAAGGTAAGTAATTTCCTTTGTTGGTTTCCTATTTATAAAATGGCAATCTCTCAAAACATAAGTAATTGACCCACAAACAAAGTCTAAAATTAAAATTCTTTGTTAAGACACACAACAAAGAAAGGAAGATGTGTATGTATGTATGTTCAAAGACAAATAATTAAATACCTATCTTGCAAGTGATAGCCAACCAGCTAAAGGTACCTCAAATCAATCAATATCAATTATTACAGAATTGTATATTGAAGAAGTAGTCTATTTCTCGAAGTGGAGTTGAAATTTCCAAAAGAAAAACACCAAGTCTTCCTCCACAAATACTTAATAATTTATAGAGCCCTCCTACATGTTTCAAGACTATACAGGGTGTTCCTAATTATCATGTACAAATGAAAGGGGGTGATTCTTTGGTTTATTTTATGACTAAAATTTCTGATAAACATAGGTCCGCAAACGCTTCGTTACCTATCTACAGGGTGTTGAAATTTTAATATTTTTTTAGTTTTTTCCGAGGTTTTTTCGTTATAGCTCCTGCAATTTTTGAGGGATTTAATCTCAGATTTAATTCAAATTTGGAATAGGTATAGGTTACGCAATAAGAGCTGAATGATTACACATGTTAAACGTATGCCAGAATCTACAGGGTGATGTTTTTTCAGGGCTCATGCCCCCTTTTCTGCCCCTGAACTTTTTCGCGGTGCGCCGCTGGTCGATTCTTAGAAACAAAATAATTTGTATACCTTATTTAGAAAATTTTTGTTGTCTTGTAGTTTTTTCGTATCACCGACCCTTATCGAGAAAAAAATTAAAAAACATATCTCTGTAATTAGCTAGATGAAACTAAAATGACTGAATAAACCTACAGTGGCGACAATAGAGGTCCCGCAGCCATATTCTTGCTCATTTTCAATACGAATACATTAAAATTTCAACACCCTATAGATCGGTAACGAATAATAAACCAAAGAATCACCCCCTTTCGTTTGTACATGATATTTAGGAACACTCTGTATAATCTCATCATCAGGGGCAAATTTGCTCAAATGTTACAAAAGGGGCGTTTTTTTTTTTCAATTAAATTAGGCTGCCAAAGCATTTCCAAAATGGTCAAATTTCAATTTTTTTTCGTGGAGATTTTGACCGAGATTTTGACTTTAGACAATCAATTCGGACCCCAGAAACCCCATACAGTGATTTATTATCTGATTTGAAGCCGAAATAAATGTAAAAAACACCTCAGAAAAAGTTAACTCGCCCCAAATTCCTTAAGGCTCCACTACAGGCAAAAAGCAATTTAGTCACAGACCGCGAAACAAAAGTTGAAGAAAAGCTAGACAATTGCGACATGCATTAAAAATGCATGCTTAATGAAACACAAAACTACACTACAATAAATCGTTTTAACGCTGCATTAAATAATTTTAGTCAAAAATGCATCAAATCAGTGCTCACGAAAAACCAAACTACGGCGTCAATAAAGCAATAACGGACTTCATTTTTGGAACAAAAACTCACAAGGGTTCACCCTACCAGCTTACAGAGCGATTTTTCAAAAAAAATAAAAAATCCATTGCTCATATTTGCGTTCAAAAAAGGCGATCTCCAGCAATATTTTTCTACAATAAATATTTAATGTATTAAAAAAACGCTTTTGTAGGCTGGTTGTATATTCCTTTGTTTATATAAATTTAATTAATTTTCAAAGAAAAACATCAAGTCTTCCTCCACAAATAAACTTCAATCATTTCATAGAACCCTACCTGTTTCGGAACTAGAGAGTTCCATCATCAGGGGCAAGTATGCTCAGAATAAGTACTCTTAAAACATCATCATTTGAACATTTTAGATGAGGTCGCTGGATTTGCAAACGGTGGAGGAAAATCACAAAAATAGGTCAAAAATTTAAAAGAAAAAACACATTAAAAGACAAAAAGAATTAAAAAAAACGTATACTGAATAAAACTGTTCAGGAACATTAATAAGGTACTTTAATTTGTTTTGTTTTTCAGTCTTATTTTAAATTTAGATTTATGGAGAGGCATCACCGGTGTGAAGTTAGCAGCCGTTTTCCAGCAGCCAAAATTGTGAAGTTAGCAGCCATTTTCAGCAGCCAAAAATGTGAAGTTAGCAGCCATTTTCAGCAGCCTTTTTTTATTCATATTGAAGGTAGTTTCATTCATGTATATGGTAGTTTCCTCAAACCAACATGATGTGAGGAGGCTGTTAGGACACAAAAAAATACATTCAAAAATTTAATAACGAAAAATATGATTAACTTATGAATCCTTTAACACAGCTTATTAGGGCGATAAATGGTGCTTAATCTTCAATCTAAACCTTCGAGCCTTCACGATCTGTCAGGGTTAAAAAAAAACCACCCCCATATGTTAAAAAAATCGCAAAAAAATAGTAAAAAATTGTGTGCGTTGATGAAACTTTGCACACAGCTCACTGAGGTGTTAATGAACCTACAAAACGAAGGACAACCCCTTACGACCCGTCAGGGTAGGAAAAAACCACCCTCATATGTTGAAAAAATCACAGAAAAATAGTAAAAAATTGTGTGCGTTGATAAAACTTTACACACAGCTCATTGAGGTGCTAATGAACCTACAAAATGAAGGACAACCCCTTACGACCCGTCAGGGTAGGAAAAAACCACCCTCATATGTTAAAAAAATCGCAAAAAAATAGTAAAAAATTGTGTGCGTTGATGAAACTTTGCACACAGCTCACTGAGGTGTTAATGAACCTACAAAATGAAGGACAACCCCTTACGACCCGTCAGGGTAGGAAAAAACCACCCTCATATGTTGAAAAAATCACAGAAAAATAGTAAAAAATTGTGTGCGTTGATAAAACTTTACACACAGCTCATTGAGGTGCTAATGAACCTACAAAATGAAGGACAACCCCTTACGACCCGTCAGGGTAGGAAAAAACTTCAAAAAACCACCCCCATATACTAAAAAAATCGTAGAAAAATAGTAAAAAATTGTGTGCGTTGATAAAACTTTGCACACAGCTCACTGAGGTGCTAATGAACCTACAAAATGAAGGACAACCCCTTATGACCCGTCAGGGTAGGAAAAAACCACCCTCATATGTTAAAAAAATCGCAAAAAAATAGTAAAAAATTGTGTGCGTTGATGAAACTTTGCACACAGCTCACTGAGGTGCTAATGAACCTACAAAATGAAGGACAACCCCTTATGACCCGTCAGGGTAGGAAAAAACCACCCTCATATGTTAAAAAAATCGCAAAAAAATAGTAAAAAATTGTGTGCGTTGATGAAACTTTGCACACAGCTCACTAAGGTGTTAATGAACCTACAAAATGAAGGACAACCCCTTACGACCCGTCAGGGTAGGAAAAAACCACCCTCATATGTTGAAAAAATCACAGAAAAATAGTAAAAAATTGTGTGCGTTGATAAAACTTTACACACAGCTCATTGAGGTGCTAATGAACCTACAAAATGAAGGACAACCCCTTACGACCCGTCAGGGTAGGAAAAAACTCCAAAAAACCACCCCCATATACTAAAAAAATCGTAGAAAAATAGTAAAAAATTGTGTGCGTTGATAAAACTTTGCACACAGCTCACTGAGGTGCTAATGAACCTACAAAATGAAGGACAACCCCTTATGACCCGTCAGGGTAGGAAAAAACCACCCTCATATGTTAAAAAAATCGCAAAAAAATAGTAAAAAATTGTGTGCGTTGATGAAACTTTGCACACAGCTCACTGAGGTGTTAATGAACCTACAAAACGAAGGACAACCCCTTATGACCCGTCAGGGTAGGAAAAAACCACCCTCATATGTTGAAAAAATCACAGAAAAATAGTAAAAAATTGTGTGCGTTGATAAAACTTTACACACAGCTCATTGAGGTGCTAATGAACCTACAAAATGAAGGACAACCCCTTACGACCCGTCAGGGTAGGAAAAAACCACCCCCATATGTTAAAAAAATCGCAAAAAAATAGTAAAAAATTGTGTGCGTTGATAAAACTTTGCACACAGCTCATTGAGGTGCTAATGAACCTACAAAATGAAGGACAACCCCTTATGACCCGTCAGGGTAGGAAAAAACCACCCCCATATGTTAAAAAAATCGCAAAAAAATAGTAAAAAATTGTGTGCGTTGATAAAACTTTGCACACAGCTCATTGAGGTGCTAATGAACCTACAAAATGAAGGACAACCCCTTATGACCCGTCAGGGTAGGAAAAAACCACCCCCATATGTTAAAAAAATCGCAAAAAAATAGTAAAAAATTGTGTGCGTTGATAAAACTTTGCACACAGCTCATTGAGGTGCTAATGAACCTAATAAATGAAGGACAACCCCTTATGACCCGTCAGGGTAGGAAAAAACCACCCCCATATGTTAAAAAAATCGCAAAAAAATAGTAAAAAATTGTGTGCGTTGATAAAACTTTGCACACAGCTCATTGAGGTGCTAATGAACCTACAAAATGAAGGACAACCCCTTACGACCCGTCAGGGTAGGAAAAAACCACCCCCATATGTTAAAAAAATCGCAAAAAAATAGTAAAAAATTGTGTGCGTTGATAAAACTTTGCACACAGCTCACTGAGGTGCTAATGAACCTACAAAATGAAGGACAACCCCTTATGACCCGTCAGGGTAGGAAAAAACCACCCCCATATGTTAAAAAAATCGCAAAAAAATAGTAAAAAATTGTGTGCGTTGATAAAACTTTGCACACAGCTCATTGAGGTGCTACTGAACCTACAAAATGAAGGACAACCCCTTACGACCCGTCAGGGTAGGAAAAAACCACCCCCATATGTTAAAAAAATCGCAAAAAAATAGTAAAAAATTGTGTGCGTTGATAAAACTTTGCACACAGCTCACTGAGGTGCTACTGAAGCTACAAAATGAAGGACAACCCCTTATGACCCGTCAGGGTAGGAAAAAACCACCCTCATATGTTGAAAAAATCACAGAAAAATAGTAAAAAATTGTGTGCGTTGATAAAACTTTGCACACAGCTCACTGAGGTGCTAATGAACCTACAAAATGAAGGACAACCCCTTATGACCCGTCAGGGTAGGAAAAAACCACCCCCATATGTTAAAAAAATCGCAAAAAAATAGTAAAAAATTGTGTGCGTTGATAAAACTTTGCACACAGCTCATTGAGGTGCTAATGAACCTACAAAATGAAGGACAACCCCTTACGACCCGTCAGGGTAGGAAAAAACTCCAAAAAACCACCCCCATATACTAAAAAAATCGTAGAAAAATAGTAAAAAATTGTGTGCGTTGATGAAACTTTGCACACAGCTCACTGAGGTGTTAATGAACCTACAAAATGAAGGACAACCCCTTACGACCCGTCAGGGTAGGAAAAAACCACCCCCATATGTTAAAAAAATCGCAAAAAAATAGTAAAAAATTGTGAGCGTTGATAAAACTTTGCACACAGCTCACTGAGGTGCTAATGAACCTACAAAATGAAGGACAACCCCTTATGACCCGTCAGGGTAGGAAAAAACCACCCCCATATGTTAAAAAAATCGCAAAAAAATAGTAAAAAATTGTGTGCGTTGATAAAACTTTGCACACAGCTCATTGAGGTGCTAATGAACCTACAAAATGAAGGACAACCCCTTACGACCCGTCAGGGTAGGAAAAAACCACCCCCATATGTTAAAAAAATCGCAAAAAAATAGTAAAAAATTGTGTGCGTTGATAAAACTTTGCACACAGCTCACTGAGGTGCTACTGAAGCTACAAAATGAAGGACAACCCCTTATGACCCGTCAGGGTAGGAAAAAACCACCCTCATATGTTGAAAAAATCACAGAAAAATAGTAAAAAATTGTGTGCGTTGATAAAACTTTGCACACAGCTCACTGAGGTGCTAATGAACCTACAAAATGAAGGACAACCCCTTATGACCCGTCAGGGTAGGAAAAAACCACCCCCATATGTTAAAAAAATCGCAAAAAAATAGTAAAAAATTGTGTGCGTTGATAAAACTTTGCACACAGCTCATTGAGGTGCTAATGAACCTACAAAATGAAGGACAACCCCTTACGACCCGTCAGGGTAGGAAAAAACTCCAAAAAACCACCCCCATATACTAAAAAAATCGTAGAAAAATAGTAAAAAATTATGTGCGTTGATGAAACTTTGCACACAGTTCACTGAGGTGTTAATGAACCTACAAAATGAAGGACAACCCCTTACGACCCGTCAGGGTAGGAAAAAACCACCCTCATATGTTGAAAAAATCACAGAAAAATAGTAAAAAATTGTGTGCGTTGATAAAACTTTACACACAGCTCATTGAGGTGCTAATGAACCTACAAAATGAAGGACAACCCCTTACGACCCGTCAGGGTAGGAAAAAACTCCAAAAAACCACCCCCATATACTAAAAAAATCGTAGAAAAATAGTAAAAAATTATGTGCGTTGATGAAACTTTGCACACAGTTCACTGAGGTGTTAATGAACCTACAAAATGAAGGACAACCCCTTACGACCCGTCAGGGTAGGAAAAAACCACCCTCATATGTTGAAAAAATCACAGAAAAATAGTAAAAAATTGGTGTGCGTTGATAAAACTTTACACACAGCTCATTGAGGTGCTAATGAACCTACAAAATGAAGGACAACCCCTTACGACCCGTCAGGGTAGGAAAAAACTCCAAAAAACCACCCCCCCATATACTAAAAAAATCGTAGAAAAATAGTAAAAAATTATGTGCGTTGATGAAACTTTGCACACAGTTCACTGAGGTGTTAATGAACCTACAAAATGAAGGACAACCCCTTACGACCCGTCAGGGTAGGAAAAAACTCCAAAAAAAACCACCCCCCATAATACTAAAAAAATCGTAGAAAAATAGTAAAAAATTATGTGCGTTGATGAAACTTTGCACACAGTTCACTGAGGTGTTAATGAACCTACAAAATGAAGGACAACCCCTTACGACCCGTCAGGGTAGGAAAAAACCACCCTCATATGTTGAAAAAATCACAGAAAAATAGTAAAAAAATTGTGTGCGTTGATAAAACTTTGCACACAGCTCACTGAGGTGCTAATGAACCTACAAAATGAAGGACAACCCCTTATGACCCGTCAGGGTAGGAAAAAACCACCCCCATATGTTAAAAAAATCGCAAAAAAATAGTAAAAAATTGTGTGCGTTGATAAAACTTTGCACACAGCTCATTGAGGTGCTAATGAACCTACAAAATGAAGGACCACCCCTTACGACCCGTCAGGGTAGGAAAAAACTCCAAAAAACCACCCCCATATACTAAAAAAATCGTAGAAAAATAGTAAAAAATTGTGTGCGTTGATGAAACTTTGCACACAGTTCACTGAGGTGTTAATGAACCTACAAAATGAAGGACAACCCCCTTACGACCCGTCAGGGTAGGAAAAAACCACCCTCATATGTTGAAAAAATCACAGAAAAATAGTAAAAAATTGTGTGCGTTGATGAAACTTTGCACACAGCTCACTGAGGTGTTAATGAACCTACAAAAATGAAGGACAACCCCTTATGACCCGTCAGGGTAGGAAAAAACCACCCTCATATGTTGAAAAAATCACAGAAAAATAGTAAAAAATTGTGTGCGTTGATAAAACTTTACACACAGCTCATTGAGGTGCTAATGAACCTACAAAATGAAGGACAACCCCTTACGACCCGTCAGGGTAGGAAAAAACTCCAAAAAACCACCCCCATATACTAAAAAAATCGTAGAAAAATAGTAAAAAATTATGTGCGTTGATGAAACTTTGCACACAGTTCACTGAGGTGTTAATGAACCTACAAAATGAAGGACAACCCCTTACGACCCGTCAGGGTAGGAAAAAACTCCAAAAAACCACCCCCATATACTAAAAAAATCGTAGAAAAATAGTAAAAAATTATGTGCGTTGATGAAACTTTGCACACAGTTCACTGAGGTGTTAATGAACCTACAAAATGAAGGACAACCCCTTACGACCCGTCAGGGTAGGAAAAAACCACCCTCATATGTTGAAAAAATCACAGAAAAATAGTAAAAAAATTGTGTGCGTTGATAAAACTTTGCACACAGCTCACTGAGGTGCTAATGAACCTACAAAATGAAGGACAACCCCTTATGACCCGTCAGGGTAGGAAAAAACCACCCCCATATGTTAAAAAAATCGCAAAAAAATAGTAAAAAATTGTGTGCGTTGATAAAACTTTGCACACAGCTCATTGAGGTGCTAATGAACCTACAAAATGAAGGACAACCCCTTACGACCCGTCAGGGTAGGAAAAAACTCCAAAAAACCACCCCCATATACTAAAAAAATCGTAGAAAAATAGTAAAAAAATTGTGTGCGTTGATGAAACTTTGCACACAGTTCACTGAGGTGTTAATGAACCTACAAAATGAAGGACAACCCCTTACGACCCGTCAGGGTAGGAAAAAACCACCCTCATATGTTGAAAAAAATCACAGAAAAATAGTAAAAAATTGTGTGCGTTGATAAAACTTTACACACAGCTCATTGAGGTGCTAATGAACCTACAAAATGAAGGACAACCCCTTACGACCCGTCAGGGTAGGAAAAAACTTCAAAAAACCACCCCCATATGTTAAAAAAATCGCAAAAAAATAGTAAAAAATTGTGTGCGTTGATGAAACTTTGCACACAGCTCACTGAGGTGTTAATGAACCTACAAAATGAAGGACAACCCCTTACGACCCGTCAGGGTAGGAAAAAACCACCCTCATATGTTGAAAAAATCACAGAAAAATAGTAAAAAATTGTGTGCGTTGATAAAACTTTACACACAGCTCATTGAGGTGCTAATGAACCTACAAAACGAAGGACAACCCCTTACGACCCGTCAGGGTAGGAAAAAACTTCAAAAAACCACCCCCATATGTTAAAAAATTCGCAGAAAAATAGTAAAAAATTGTGTGCGTTGATAAAACTTTGCACACAGCTCATTGAGGTGCTACTGAACCTACAAAATGAAGGACAACACCTTACGACCCGTCAGAGTAGGAAAAAACTCCAAAAAACCACCCCCATATACTAAAAAAATCGTAGAAAAATAGTAAAAAATTGTGTGCGTTGATAAAACTTTGCACACAGCTCATTGAGGTGTTGATGAGCCTACAAAATGAAGGACAACCCCTTACGACCCGTCAGGGTAGGAAAAAACCACCCCCATATGTTAAAAAAATCGCAAAAAAATAGTAAAAAATTGCGCTTTTTTTTAACATATGGGGGTGGTTTTTTGAAGTTTTTTCCTACCCTGACGGGTCATAAGGGGTTGTCCTTCGTTTTGTAGGTTCATTAACACCTCAATGGGCTGTGTGCAAAGTTTTATCAACGCACACAATTTTTTACTATTTTTCCGCGATTTTTTCAACATATGGGGGTGGTTTTTTTTTAACCCTGACAGATCGTGAAGGCTCGAAGGTTTAGATTGAAGATTAAGCACCATTTATCGCCCTAATAAGCTGTGTTAAAGGATTCATAAGTTAATCATATTTTTCGTTATTAAATTTTTGAATGTATTTTTTTGTGTCCTAACAGCCTCCTCACATCATGTTGGTTTGAGGAAACTACCATATACATGAATGAAACTATCTTCAATAAGAATAAAAAAAGGCTGCTGAAAATGGCAGCTAACTTCACATTTTTGGCTGCTGAAAATGGCTGCTAACTTCACAATTTTGGCTGCTGGAAAACGGCTGCTAACTTCACACCGGTAGAGGCATCATGTAAGGGCTAGGGCTCTCCAAAAAAAAAGAAATAATTAAAGTTTATTTGTGGAAGAAGAGTTGGTGTTTTTCTTTGAAAATTAAATTTCAACTCCACTTTGAGTCATGGACTACTTCTTCAATTTAAATTTAATTAGTTCATGTCGATATCTGGAGCAGTTTTTTTGTAGTTTGGTTTTTACGAAATGCTTACAATCCCCCAGGTGTTGTGGCCCCTTAACACGATTTTTTCTCAGGAACTATAAGTCCAAATTAGTTGATATTTCGCAGTGTTTGTAGGGTTTGTAGTCCCCTACTAGGATAAGAATCGCTGAAAATTTCAGCTTTCTATTTATGATATAGAAAAAAAGCTATGATTATTCATAGTTTTTAAAAATGCATGTCCAAAGTGGTCTTCTTCGTGGTCTTCCTTCCAAAATGGTCAAATTTCATTTTTTTTTTGTGGGAATTTCAACTTTAGACCTCGCTTTAAACGATCACTTGGGACCCCAGAAACTCCATACAGTGATTTATTGTGGGATTTGAAACCGAAATCTTTAAAAAAAGAATCTCAGAAAAAGTCAAAAATCCAAAAATTCACTCCGAATTCCTTAACACGATTTTTTCTCAGGAACTATGAGTCCGAATGAGTTGAAATTTTGCAGGGTTTGTAGTCCTTTGCTAGGATAAGAATCGCTGAAAATTTCAGCTTTCATAATAGAAAAAAAGTTATGATTATTCACAGTTTTCTAAAATTCATGACTGACATTTTTAAAATCTTAATGTTTTGAGTGGGTATTGTTTTGGGCGAGGTTTTGGGTTTTAAGGCTTTATTTAAGTATGGGCTTTGTCAAGGCAAGACCATAAGGCTTTGTGGCTCTGACTTTGAGTAGAATGTTGACTTCTTCTAAGTCTAAACATGGGTATTGAAATTTTTAAATACAATATCAGTACAAAATAAATATATAAATGGTGCTTAAGAAGGGAGGTGATACAACTGGTAAATACTTCCTTTTGGAGGGAATATTTATTATTTAAACTTAAAATCAACAACAAATTGACATAAAAACGTTATACAAACTTAATGTAAGTATGTATAGAATAAGCAAACTGAAAATAGTAAAGATGCTTACTCTGTGAGTTTGTGAATCTGTTATTGTAGATAATGAATAACTATTACTGATTGTCAAAGACTGCATAAGGATGAACGATAAATTGTTACTGATAAATATAAGAATTTGTATTTACTGTTAAATAGAGTAGGTATTTGTCAAGGTATTGTGTTGTGAGTATATTTAAAGTACTATCAACTTTTGGTTGTAAGTAAAAGCAAATCCCAAACTCCATTTTGATTTTCTGCAACCATCATCTCTCACTTTCTGTGAGACACCCTGTGTATAAGCCTGAATAAATGATTTGATTTTATATACACACACTATAAAAATTGCAATACTTATTACTACACAATACTTAATTGTAAATTTTAAAATTGAAATTTAACACACTTTGTATAAAAATTCGAAAAAAATAAATTAAAAAAAACTCACATATGTACATAACTACATTGGATCATTACATGATAATTATTGTCTACCTAGTGAGACTTGTCAAATAGTCTTTTCCTGAGGTTATTTTTAAAGGTGTTTACAGTACCGCATCTTTTTATTGAATCAGGTAATTTATTATATAATATTAAACCATTGTGAAATAGTGCTCTTTCTGTAGCCTTTTTATTTTTTTTGGTTACATGGCAAATTATTCTGTGACTGCATATCATAATTCTGGACGTTGTTATTGTATACAAGTTTGGAGGACAAATACGATGGAGTTAAACAATTTTTCATTTTATGTATTAGAATCATAGTTTGGTATTCCAAATACTGTTCCACTGACAGCCAATTCAATGAGTGAAGCAGGTTTTTAATTGATGTGTCCCTAGGTACACACAAAATTAATCGCATGGCCTTGTTTTGTAATTTCTGCAATCTTTCTTTCTCATTTTTATTTGCCGTGAACAGGATGGTAGGCGCAAATGTAAGATGAGGCAAAATTGGTACATTATATACCACTTTTTGAGACCACTTGGTGGAAGATGAAGCAATTCTAGCAATAAAGTTGGTGAGATTTTATCATCTATGTATGACACATGTTCCCTAGATGTTAACTTCCTGTCAATTATAACTCCAAGATACTTTATTTTATCATCAATTTCTATTTCAGTATTGGCGATCACTATTTTATACTATACTGTTGGTTATTACCAACAAGCATACATTTAGTTTTTGCTGCATTTAATTTAAGTAGATTTCCATTGCACCACAGTAGTATATTTTGCAGTTCTGTGTTGATGGTGTCAATTAGGTTTTTTTAAATTATCTGAACGGAAATACAGTAAGGTGTCATCAGCAAACAGATGGATTTTGCAGCTTTTAACTGTAGAAGCAATATCGTTAATGTATAACAGAAATAGTAGTGGTCCTCCAGTACTTCCCTGTGGAACACCATTGTTATTTAAAATTTCTAAAGACGTTGTTTCATTAACACGTGTAACTTGCTTTCTATTAATGTAAGTAATTACAGAGCCATTCCAAAGCTAGGCCGCTAACACCGTACTTTTCTAACTTGTTCAACAACTTATCCCTATCAATCATCTCAAAGGCACGCTGGAAGTCTAAAAATACTGCTCCAATCATTAAATTTTTATCCTGCTCATTCTTCCATTTACACAAAACATTCTGAACAGCAGTCTCGCAACTAAGTATGTGCCCTTCTAAAACCCGACTGGTTTATGTACAAAATATTATTTTTTGAGATATAGTCAACTAATTGCTCATAAACAATCTGTTCAATAATTTTTTCGACTGTTGCCAACATGTTGATTGGTCTTAAATCACTTGCTGTTGAAACGTCATTGACTTTTGGTATAGGTATAACTTCGGGTATAACTGTCGAAATTTTCAATGCTGTCGGTACAGTATCAGTTTCTAGTGAATAGTTAACATGTTTTTCATAAATTCTGCTGAAAATTCATCAGGGCTACTTTTATTGGGTAATTCAAAAACAACTTTTCTCAATTCTACAGAAGTTATCATGACAAAATGTGTTAGTAGATAAAGGTGTTGCTATTTTTTGCAAGCATTCTGTTGAGCATTCTGATGTGCTGGTTTTATCAAATTATTTTGTCGATACTACTGAAATAAAACTTATTAAGACTTACATAGTAGTTGTAGGTCAGATATAGTTTTATTGTGTATTTCTAGTTCTGCTAATTTGTTATCTTTTTTCTCTGATAACAAAGATTTTAATGTTTCCCACATTCTTTTTGTATTATTTTTGCAACCGTCTACCCAAACAACCAGTTTACGTTTTAAGTACGTACATAATACATCAACCTTCGACATAACTTACATCTTATGTACGTACTCTGATATCCATTGTACATTCTATATACGTACATAGTACCTCCAAATTCCACCAGATAATACGTTTTATGTACGTACATTATTGAAGTATTTAGAACGTCATATGGACATACACAAGACGTACTTTTTAAATCCCATTTTACAGGCTCTAAAAATTGAAATTTCAAATTTTGCTTCAAGCTTGGATGATTGAAATAATGAATTAATGGTACATTAGTAGATTACATACTTTTATTCCAGGAAAATAGATAATTGAACAAGTAGGTAGGTAGGTACCTAAATAAAAAATCAACAATTATTCTTATTATATCACAATTCGAACTCTAAACAGAACTTGAGATGCCATCCTTATTGCAGGAATTAAACAAAACATAAACTCTTAATATTCTAAACAAAACATTATTAGACATAAAAAACCTAAAATTTATCGTTTCGATTTTATTCTATCGTTAGCCCTTCGTAGCCAGCCAGAAACCGCATCTTCCACCTCCTTCTTGTTTTTTGCCTTGCCCCCAGCCTCAGCAGCAGCTGAAAATTAAATTTTTGATTATCTAAGCCGAAAATCTAAATGCCTTTCATTAAAATGCAAACCAAAATTTGTTTCTATACTAATTTCTTTTGATACAAATTTATGGCTACATTTTCAAAATTATCCTCACCAATTATTAGCTTTGAGACTTCCATTACACTGAAGTTCTTTTTATTTCTTCTGCCTAACCAACTATATTGGTTAGCTAGCTCATCTGTCATGACTTTCTTCAAACATCTAACACAGAAGTCATAGATGTTTCTCCCCCCTAATCTAGATAGCTCATTAACCTGAAATAATGATAAAACATATTAGATGCATCAATGTTCTAATGTTATCTAAGTAGGTAACTTGAAGCTTTTAAATTAAAATTGAAAAATGTGTCTGATTAAGCTGATGATATCAAACCAAGACGTTAAGGATTATTTCACTAGAAACTGTTTTAGTTCATTCATGGCCACTTTATAAAAACATTTAACATAACATCTAGCATTTAACATTCAAAAAAGTTCGACTTATGCAAAGTAATATAGTGGTTTATAAAATTTTTATGAACCGTTACATTATATAGGTACTTTGTGTAAGGCGAAATTTATTAAATGTTAAATGTTTTTATAAACTCACCATTAATAACAGAACAAAAAAATTGGTAAAAATAATATTTCTTACCACTTTCTCAAAAAAATTTGTATCCTTTAACGCATTATTCAATTCAGAGAGGGCTTCATCATTCACTGCTGGGTTTTCAAAGAGTGATTTCTCGTGCAGAGACACAGGGTTCTTCAAAATTGGCTCAATGGGAATATCATCAACGCGGCTCTTGATAAATGTAAGTTGTCTCAATATTTCTTTTATATAGTGAACTAAAAAAATATCAACATTATAATTGTTATTCCTAAACTATAAGTGAGTATTAAAATATTTCTGGTATTGAGAAAAAACTTTCTGCAGTAAGTTCTGAATTTCATTATTCATGATTTCGGTACCTCAAATATTTTTCTTACCATGGACAGGACAACATGTACATTTTGGATCATTTGAATTATTACTTGCAATTGTCCTAGGTCGCACACTTGGTTGCACATGTTTAGGAGCAGAAGCGTTAACTGATTCATTTGCTTGTCCGTTATCGTGTCTCTCGAATCCCAATGAATCATTTAGATTAGAATTAGTGAGATCAACATTCTTACTAAGATTTTGGTTGTTGCCTAAAAATAATTTAAACATGAAATTTATTTTACGAAAATATAAATACCTGAAAGTTCTTCAATAAATTAAGAGCATACCTTCTGATGAGGTTCCTGGCTCCAACAACTTTGCATTCTGTTTGTGACATGATAATTGTGAACTTAGTACCAATTTTTGTTTTACCATCTTAACTACAAATAAATCAGAAAAAAAAGTTAGAATGTAAAAAACACGAAATTTATTATACAGTAGCTATTTTCGGGTTGGAAAAAAGGACGGTTCTAGAACGGTTTAAAACAATCGCACAGTTTATTATTGAAATTTGTGATAGCTGAGCTGTGATCATTTTGTTGATTGATAAACTGTGCGATAAAAGTTATTTATAAAAGTTTCTGTTTCTTGAAAAAATAATATTGAACTATTAAAACTTGAAATAGCATGTACAGGGTAGTCAAAAAATAGAAAAATATACAGTGTGTTTCCTAAGTACGGTTCGTAACTTCAGGATTTGATTCCTTACAATATTTTAAGAAAAGAAGTTCCCACAGAAATGTGTCCGAAAATGCGTAGTTTCTGAGATACAGGGTGTCAAATTTTTAGAAAAAATCGTTTTTCCAACTCAAAAACTCCTTCTCCAATTTTTCTTTCGAATTTGGCAGGTTTATTCGTGAAAACGAAAGGTATCTTTTGACTATAATATGACTTATGCCCGTATTACATTTGTGTATTTTTCCGTGTATTTATTCATGTAGTTCAGGGTGCCAACATTATTTTGTTTTTCATAATGCTGATTTAGGTTGCGTTTGAAGCTTTTCGGTTGTCACCTTGAACTACATGAATAAATATACGGAAAAATACACAGATGTAATACGGGCATTAGTTAATCTGAAAAAAAATATCGAAAGTTTAAAAAAATAGTGACGTGCCATTTTTTTTCTACTTTTACCCTGTATATATTTTTTTATTTTCTGACCACCCTGTACATGCTATTTCAAGTTACAATAGTTTAATGTTATTTTTACAAGAAGCAGAAACTTTTATAAAAAATAACTTTTTTTGTAAAATTGATAATAGAAAAGTTTCCCATATGCTGCGAACTTAAGTGGACACACTGTATATGAACACACAGGTTTGATTTATCAAAGAGAAAGTTGTAGAAAAAGGATCGAGAAAAATTCACAATTATGGAAATTTTTTTGTTAATAAGAGGCTAGGGTAAGTATAAAACTATGTATTAAAGGATAGAGATTGTTTCGATTCCTATGTTTTTTTTTCCTTATATGTTACATCCTTCCTAACCGGGTCCACCTGTGTGGATTCCTTCCTTTTTTTTTTTTATCTGTATATCGTTGGGTGAATGGTTAGCTAAAGTTTGAACTTTTGAATTATGTTTTCGTGGCTAAGTGAGCTATGCTCAAAGCCAAAAAAAAAAAAAAAAAAAAAAAAAAGGATTCTGATACCTAAACCTGGTCAATGCCTTGAAGCATTTAATAAGATTACTATATGTATTGGAGTTTATTATCATCAACACAAATTAATACATACCATTTTTATCATTTGCTTTGAATGATTTCCCAGTAAATTTTGGGGGAGTCCTGATTTTCACTAGAACATCATTTTCTTCTGAGGAGTCACTTGAAATCCTGTTAATTTTTTTTCTTCTCACAGTCATCTCGACATCAGTGTTCAGATCACTGGTATCTTCGGCTTTTAAAACTGCCTTTCTGGCTTTTTGATAGTCATCTACAAAATGAACCAAATCATAATTTTTATAACTCGTTAGATAGATATATTATATAAATTTAATTATCAAACTGAATATACAAGGTACACACATTGAAAAATATATTATTGATGTATCACCTTAATAATTGTTTTGATGAAATATTCTAAGTATATGTGGAAAAAGAGTAATGAAAAAAACTAGGAAAAATAATTTAAAGCAAGTAAAACAAAATCACGCTTAGCTTAGGTTTTGTAGGTAAATTTTTCAAAATCAATTTAATAATAATAAGTTAACATATAGTTGTGTGAGCACTTGTTTTGTCAGTAGCTATGTTTGTCGATATAGAGGAAAACATACATACCATAAGTCGCATTTCTAAACATGGTAACTTTAAAAGATGGCCCACAAGTATTCATTTCGTGGGTCCTAACAGCCACTGATATCCTGTTTGCCGGCAGTGGAGGCCATAAACAATTCCAGCCATTTTCAGAGTTAGTTAACCAGATTGTGGGAACCATAGCAACAGTATCTTCGTCTATAAACTTAACGATTGTCCAAGTTTTTTGGACAGTTCCAGATTCTTCTGCCATTTCAACTTGTCACTATAGTGTCACCACCAAATATCACTTGTTATAGATAAGTATCATCAGATGGTATTATATAAGTAATAATAATATTATAATATTATACAGGGTGTATATTTGAAATGATACCACCATTGCTATATCCAAAACGGTAAGAGCTACAAGGTCGGTTAAATTAGAAAAGTTCCTTTTTTCGATGCCCATTAGAGACTTGTTTACATTGTTGCCAATTTCCTTCTAGTTCATGAAATACAGGGCGATTACTAAGAAACGTCTAAAAATATTTCATCAATTATTTCAAAAACTATTGATTTTTCGAGACACAATTTAAATTTGAAAGTTTTATCATTTTGTAAAGTTGATGATGGTAGCTTGATCACATAACATCGAATTTAAAATTTGAAGATCAATAGTTTTTGAAATAATGGATGAAATATTTTTAGGCGTATCTTGGAAATCACCCTGTATTTCATGAACTAAAAGGAATTTGGTAGCACTGTAACCAAGACTTAAATGAGCATGAAAAAAGGCATTTTTTTTTCTAAGTTAACTGACCTTGTAGCTCTTGCCGTTTTGGATATAGCAATAGTGGTATCACTTAAAATATACATCCTTATTTACTAGCAGGTACTTACTTATTATAATTAACAAGAAAAATAAACAACAAAATGAACGAAATACAATCAAATAAAATATTATAAATACTTAAATAATTATAAAAAATAGCTTAAATAGAACATCGGCCCCCAACTCACATACTTATGACATTTTTTACATCATGTGTAGAAGAGGAAAAAATACAAACTTTCCTTGATAGTCAAGTTTGACAACTTTATATGCAAAACAGCTTAGCCTCCAGCTCTTGAGTGATGCATTATTATCTTTTTCAGCCAAATATATACCAACTTCCTCAGAATTTAAAGGCTTCTCAAAAAAACTGCCTATTTTTAAGACTTCTTCTCCAAAGAAAAAAATTTCATTTTCTGTTTTAGTAAAATTTTTAATACATACAATTGTTTTGTTTTTCAAACAGCAGTAATTATCAGGTTCAGAAATTTTTAAAACGCAATTTTCTAGCTCTCTTTCTTTAAAATGAGTGAGAGAAATAGCTCGATTTTGAAATTCTAATAGTGGGCCCTCATAAAAATGTTCTCGTTTTAAGTTTGGAAAGCTACTAGCAATTTTATGTATGTTTTTGAATAAGTCTATCTCTGATTTTCTGTTAATCACTTGTAACAAAGGCTTTTCTTTTTTCTGACCATTTTTTTAATATTTTGCATAAAGTTTTCAAAAGGAAACGCGCTGAATGTATCCAATGTTCCAAAATTAATTGCATCTGCGGTGATATGTAATAAATTGTGGATATTGTGAGACACATATTTTTTCCCATATAAAGTAATAAATGTGTCAACAAAATATTTCAACAAGTGCTGGGTATATTCAGTACCTATTGATGCCATATTGTTATTGCTGCACAAAACTGTCACACCAACATGTAAACACAAGAAGTTAATGTATTTATCAAAGGTGTAGCGCTACTTTGGTTTTCCGGTAAGAAAGCGGTCGGTTCGGGGTTTTCGGAAAACTCGGGCGCCACCCTTAGGATTAATGTGGTTAAGGGCCCACGGGCACTAGGTAGCTTTTAAACAGTGGAGACGGAAAAACCAGAGGTCGATGCGCATTTTCCCCAAAATGAAACACATAATATCCAACAATGCACTTTTATTAATGCCCAAAGAAATAACAATAGAAAGGAAATGCAAGAAAACCTAATTAAGATGCGGATTTATTGAAATGAAATGCTTAACCCGGAGGGAGAGAGTGTGTGAACGAGTATGAGAGAGAGACGGAGTGATATGCGTGACGGTGCTGGGCTGGTATAGCGCGGCGGTAAAGATGGCGGTGCGGTAGAAATGACGGTGCGGTAGAAATTACGGTGCGGTAAAAAATGACGGTGCGGTAAACAATGACGGTGCGGTGAAAATGACGGTGCGGTAAACAATGACGGTGCGGTGAAACAGGCAAGAAGCTCCGGAATTATGGTTTGTACGGTCCGACTCTTACCGGCGTCAGCAACTCGGATCAGCGCCCTATGGCGCATGCGTGAATTTAACAATAGGCAGAAAGCAGGTCCCCGTGGAATATGAAGTCAGAAGAAGTGTGAGACAAAGAGTGCCACCCTGTACGTGTTCCAGCCCGTGGCCCCCTTTTGTCTTCCCATAGAGGAAACAAAACCACCCAGTACGTGTTCCCACCCGTGGTTTCGTTTCCTCTATCCACCAATCGAGACAGAAGAGTGCTACCCTGTACGTATTCCAGCCCGTAGCCCCCTTAGGTCTTTCACTACAAGAACAGAGCTACCCAGTACGTGTTCCCACCCGTAGCTCCGCTCTTGCAGTGTGAGAGAGAGAGAGAATACCTGCCTTCTTACCCATACCTATTACTTACTGAGCCCTCATCTGGCGTCGCGACGGTGCTGACGTCGGCAAGCGGCGGCGGCGGCGGCGGCGGCGGATAAAACGGACTTACATTGCTTGTAGCTGGCGGCTGGTGCTGGTCGGTAGGTCTGGTCGGAATCGGAGCTCGGAGAGAAGTGGCCGACTGCAGTGTGTGCTGCCGTATAAATAATCGGGAGGCGCCGCGTCACGTCGTCGTCAGACGGCAGCGCAGATACCAGCGGTGGGGAATCGAGTTTTTGAAACGCGGCGCGCACGTCGGTTTATACTGGAGAGTGCTTTGCATTCGAGGTCACGCGTCGACACAACATATCGGTACAGAATTAATTTAATTAACGGAAACGCGGATAAAACAATAAAAATTTAGTAACCTACGTTACAAAGGACAATATATTTCTCAACACAACAGGTCCTGTATACAGTAAAAACTGCCTGAACTCTGTTGCTTTCCACCTTTTAAATTCTGCAAGTGGACGCGGCTTTCGATTAAACTCAGCTGGAATGTTTTTCACTTGTATGTTCAATAAATTAGAAATTTCTGAAATTTGAGGATGCGATAACTTATTTTCAGGTTTTCCCACACACCAGAAAGAAATCAATTTTTTCACAACTCCCAAACAAATTAAGTGCATGTAGTCTAATGGAAAGCACTTGATCATGTCCAAATTTGGAATTTCTTCTAGAATTGATGTTCCTGTATGATGCTCTGGCTGAATTTTATGACGAAATTCAAAATCTGAGCGTATCTTTAAATTTACAGTTTCTGGAAAACAAACAGAGTCAATATATTGTCCTTCTATATGACATTTAGTACAAGAGTTGTAACCCGAGTGCCCAGTTGTAAATGAAATAAAGGACTTTGCCGGAGCATCACAAATGAATCCTTTAATTTTAAACTTCAACTTCCTTCCTTGAAATACAATTCCATTTTTGATCAAATCCTTGGCTTCTGCCACAAATTCTTTCAGGAATGAATTAGCATTATGTGGTTTATAGTTACCATAATATAACCCAGCTAAATTAACATTTTTATAACCATAAATACTAACAAGAATAGGATAAAATGTTCCACCAGAGCTTTTAAATAGGGGTAACCCATCAATATTCACAAGAATTTCAATGGTATCTAATTGTTGGTCTTGTAAACAAATTTCTGAAAGGGATTGAACACATTTCTCCAATCCAAAATGAAAATATTCTCCTGGTTCTATCACCGTAGTGTTACTGCCCCTACCAGTATTTAAAAGAGACCTTGCATCAACAGGGAGCTCCGGATGTGCAGGTTTAAGAATTTTTAACAAAGCTGTTAAAGCTACCTGTGTAATATTATGATTGACAGCCCAGTTTGAAATTTGTACAGGTAATGAGATTGATTCATTTGAAGGTTTATGCTGAACGTTTAATGTAGTATCAGAAACTAATTCAATATTATCATTTATATTAATATCTTGATCAATATCATCACCAAAATTGCTGTCAGATTCTGAAGAAACTTGGTGATCAAAATCAGAGGTTGCTGAATTCGAGTTAGAATTTGTGGCAATATCATCATCATACACAATGAAACCCTCAACTGTACTACTAGATGATACAGACGGGAGGGTACCTGGAAAGTTTTCTGGAAGGAAGCTGTTGCTTATTGAAGCCTCAAAAGCTTCAATTTTTTTTTTCGTTTTTTTGTAATGCTTACTAACTTTACTTTTACTTGAGCTTTTACTTAACATAGCGAAGTCGAATTATAAAATACCTATCACTTTAAATTATAATAATTACAGAAAAACCCTGCTTAAAGGCTGGTTTATAGTTCCAACCTTTTTCCGTTTCTTTAACCTTATCCGTATCTTTAGCGTTTTCTTTTTCCTTAAGGAAATGTTGTGTTTATAGATTGGTTTTTAAATTTATCCATAACCCTTAAGAATGACATATATGACTTTTAACAGGTGATCATAACACAAACACAAAACAACTGATTTTTTTGTTCTATTCAAAATCTATTTTTGAGCTGGCGTAAGTAATGATTATCGAGAAGAAAAAAACAATTATTGTAGGAATACTGTATTTTTTTTATTAATCCACAATCCACAATCCACTATAACCACAAAACCTATAACCATAACATAACCTAGAACTTGTTCGGTGTAGAAAAAAAATCAAAACATGGATATTTCTTTATCTTTAACCGTAGAAGTTAAATATTAATTAACTTTCAAGGATACGGTTTAAACACTACGGAAAAGTACACGGAAAAGGAAATAGTATAAACACTCAAATTCTTTTACACGCTTTTTAACTCTAACGGTTAACGATAAATCTACGGAAAAGGAAAAAGCTTTGAACTATAAACAGGCCTTAAAACTACCTACATTCACTTCACCTTAATTTCTTATTTAACACACACTTTAATTACTTCTCCAAACAGAAGGGCCTAAAATTTGCACAAAATCTACCAGAAAATCAAAAATTTTAGGTTAGGGATTCAATATTAGTCTCAGTGGTCTTACCCAAGTCGTTATTATTCTTATTATACAGATAAACACACATAAAAATCAAATTTCACGAATCACTCACTATTTGTATGCTATTTGAAATCAAAAAATATCAAAAAATTAAAAATTAGCAATGACGCGGTGGCTTGGTGCGCTTCGTTGTTTTGTTAGTTTTTGAGTAATGGCGGCCGGCGGGTACAGTGTACAGTGGGTACAGAAAGGAGCCGGGAGCGCAATGCGCAGGCGCAGGAAGGGTGAAGTTGATTGGACTGGATTGGACATTTGAAATGGGTACGTTGCCAACGCCTTGATTTATTCCCTAATTTCCTTGTTTTGTGACACTGTTGTGTTCAAGGAAAATTAAAAAGTAGAGCATTTGGACAATTTAAGATGTATCTTGGTTCATAGATCTGATAAGTCTACGATTGAAAACCCCTTTTTATCGCAATATTTTTTTAGATGTGTGCACGTTTAAATTAAATTCTTCGACAATCATATTAAATTTGGCAATGCTGCACAACTATCATTCATTTCAGTTTGGTGGCGGGAATTCGAAAATGCTGTTTTGTTTTTTATTTTCACAACATGGCACCCACTTTCTACACCAAACGTGTTTCTTTATCCCTATATTTTTGTTAGTCTGACAGAGACAGCCTAACATTTTGCTGAACCTGGTGCAGATTGGTGTAACTTTGATGCAAATAAACAAACAAAGCTGCTAGCTTCTTGTTTATTTTTATTTGCACCAACCGACACTTTCTACATCGAGCGTGTTTGTTTATCCCTTTATTTTTATATCATTTTTATCTAAGATTTTTATTAACCTATCTCTGTCAGTCTGTCCTTTTGCTGCACCTGGTGCAGCTTTTGTGTAACTTAGGTGCAAATAATCAAACAAAGCTAATCAGAATAATTATCATTTGAGGGTATGGGCAAATGAAAAATAAGTTTCAAATTATTTTATGGGTGATCATCATCGCGAGTTTTTGTGATAATTTGTTTTTTTTATTCCTCTTTTGTGTACATACTATGTACGTACTGAGAATGACTGATGATTAAATACTAAAGTACGTACTACGAAGTACGTACTTAATACATGTTCTTTTGGTCCTAAGACGTACGTACGTAAATATGACCTAAAATGGACGTTTTGAAAACGTACTGTGTTGTTTGGGTAAGTATCTTATTTTCAAAATATTTCTTCTTCTCCTCGCGAGTAACTTGTACAGCTCTATTTCGATGTTGCTTGTAAAATGTCTTATTATAGTCGGATTTATTTTGTTTGTAATATCTATAGGCTTGGTCCCTTTGATTTATCGCCTTACATAACCTGTTATTCCACCACTCTTCACATCTAGCTTTGATTACTATATTTTTTCAGGGTGCAACTTGATTTAGAACACTTAAAAGTCGAAAAAAAAGCGTCGTATTTGTCGTCCACACCTGCAATCAAATATCGCCACTCCATTAAAGAAAGTTTTCGATTCGTTTCATCATAGTCTATTTTACCACGGGAAATTATTCACCTGTCACTCATGATATCACTACTCTGGTGCATATGTAGACCAATTTTGACTATACAGTGATCTGTTATCATTGGTGTTTCGATAACATCAACCTTACTATCAATACTCTCAAAGTTACAGAACGCCAAATCAATTATACTACCTCCCAAGTCTGTAGGGTGAGTGATATTCTCAACTGTCTGAAAAAATCCCAAATCAGCCATAGTTTTTTCTAATCTCACTTGATATTTATAAGCTTGCAGCCAGTGTATTAGCTTTTATATTAATATTTATATGCGAATATAAAAACAATGTTAGATAATGTTCGTATATTGAGTGTTCGACAGTCAATAAGTTATAATACACTGGTATTTATTTATAAAATGGTTCATGGACTGGTGCCTAGCCATTTGCTCGACAACTGTGTTACTGTACAGGATATACATAATCATTTTACAAGATCTGCAAGCAACTTTCATATTAGAACTGTGCATAGAACATTTGACCAGAAGAACTTGTTCCATAAAGGACTAAATCTCTACAATGAACTATCAAACCACGTCAAAAACTGTGGAAGTCTAAATTCATTCAAAAGTAACTGTTCCATATATGTAAAGGAGATAATTGCACTATATTAATATTGTAGTACTCTAATTCTTAATATTATTTATGTTAGCTTCATGCTAATAATAAAGATTAGGTATATATATATTATATTACTGCAGCCAGTATACCAAAATAAAAATGTTGTAGGTTATTTGTATAAGTTGTGATGATCCAGAAATTTGACCCTATAATTACAAAGTCTTTACTGTAAAAATTAAATAAATAATCAAACAATCAAAAACTTAATTCCGGTATTTTTAAATCTGTGTCGATAAATTAAAAAATAAAAACCAACTAAGCAATCGAATTACGACACCCGGAAGTGTCATCTAAATTAAATTCTTAAAACAGATAAAAACGAGGACAGTATGACATCATTAATAACCGATCAATGAACTTTTTCGTTAGCGAAGGCCATGTGTAACTAATTAAATCGAATGAATTATGGCATTTTTTGAACCCAAAACGTTTTGACCTCGATAAATCAGTATATTACGACATAATTAGTCGATTTTTGGGCTACAAAAATGATAAAATATTCAAGGAAATTGCATCATTCTTTTAATAACAATGAGGGCGTCCAATGAAATTCGAAGTCCTAAGTTAACGACCGCCTATATTGACGATTTGGGGGAAATTTAATAATAATTTTGTGGGGAGAGCGATTTGATATAAAACTCGCGGAAGATAGTTCCCAGTGATCTGAAGATAGTTCCCAGTTGATAGTTGCCAGTTAAGAGTCGAGTCGTCCATTTGAAGTAAAGTCGGTCCAGTTTCGCGAAAAGTTTCTTTTATGGCCTATGGCCTCGGGTATAAATTAACTTAGAAAATTTACGGAAAATCGAGAAAGTAATAACAGTTGAAATTTCGTTCAATCAATTATGTGCATGAAGCTAAATATTTTGAGTAGTTAATTAAATAATTTTACGTGTGTTTTATGGACAAAATGTAAGTACTTTATAGTGACAAGATTTATTTTGATGAACATGACTTTGTGTGAAATTTTACTAGAAAACTTTTGATTTTTAATTTAACGGTGGAACTTTATTACAACGAAATTAATAACTTGAGTGTTTTATGAAGGAAACATTATCGCATAACTTTAATTACCTTCAGATATAATGACATTTAAATGTGCAACAAAAATATGAAGAGTACTTACAATGCATTTAACAATATTCAATTTTGAGTTGGAAATTATGAATTAAACAGTTGGATTTATTAGCTAGGCATAGGAATCCGAAAATAAAATTTGTTCTAAGAAACTATTAACTGCAATAGGAAATTTTAAAAAGAAATTTGATGACATAATAGAATTGTTTTCTTAAAATATTGGAAACTAGTTAAAAGGAAACTTATATTAGAATTTGTCTGATTAAATAAACTAATTAAAAGGAAATAGGATGTTTCGTAAATTAAACTTGTTCATGAAATAGAATTGTCTTAGAATATGGGAAAGCCGTTAAAAGAATTTATTGTCCATGAAATGAATTTTGAATTAGGGAGTTTATTTTACAAGTAGAAGTTATTGTAAGAATTTATGAGAATAAATTAGTTGTTAAACAAATAGGTAATTATTTTGGGTTTTTATAAGTAATGGACTTAGAGATTTTAAGGAATTATTTGACTAGGTAAAGGGTAGTTATTAGGAATGATTTCGATGTAGTAAAATAAATAGAAATATTATTTTGAGAAATAGTATGAATAGGGCGTTTCGTATTAAGTAGGCATATTTCAGTGGTCCGTATAATAACAATATAGAACGGATGTGAAGTATTAATTTTACAGAATTAAAGAAGGATGTAAAGTATTGGGAGATATTTGGCTAATTGATTTTGAGTTTTATGTGAAATAAAATATAATTTAGTACACCTCCTTAGTTTGTTTCTCTCTCTTGCAAATAGACCCTCTTCCACAGATTTTAGATAGCAAGCTCCAAGTACATATAAACACCATCAATATACCGCTCGCCATTTACCATCTAACTAAATTACATAGAGTACTTGGGGCGATTTGCTACATTGGTGTCAGTTGTGTGGGGTTGTCTATTATTTGTACATTGAGAGCAACTAAGAGGTTATTTTAATTGTATTGTGAAAGCATCGGTAGGGCTAAAAATAATTTTTGAATTGAGAGAAACTGTAAATTTTTTAGTTAAATTTGAGTTGAGATTAATCAAGCGACGTCAAAAATGTCCAACCCTTCGAGCCCCGTACCACAATTCAACACCACCATGCCTAACCTTTTTATAGGATTAGATTCCATACCTACCTATGATGGAACTACTAGTGCTGAAGAATTTTTAAATGTCCTAGAAGAAACCAGTATTTTAGCTGACTGGAC